ATTTTTGTGTACGAATAAGTCACGCCATATATTCATTTCTTGGATGACAGTCACTCGCGGATCGTTAAAGAGTTCCGAAAACTACTTATAGTACTTATTGTCGTTTTTTCGACAGGTATCTAATCAATGAAATCGAGTCTGGCATGAATAACGGATGCAAAACATGTACTGACAGGGTTTTTGTTCTGTGAAACAAGTCCGACGATTGAATTTTAACAAAATAATCTTGGTTTATTCTAGGTTAAAAATTGTTCGTGTATTATCTAAAATACTTTTTTAAAATAATTTTACCATGTAGAGTAGAAAACGTTATAGATCTCAAGACCGCCCATTAATCTTACAAGAAGGAAAAGGGCACTAATTTCTTCGAAATGTTGTAAGTATACGTAAATTACAGTAGTTTTTATTTTTGTAAGACTATGTTAACCACTTGTTTGAAAAGCCACCATTAAATTGACTGGCATAAAATTTGATTATTTTATTTCCACCGCACAAACGTTGGTCCATGTCGCAATACAGCCAGTGTCTATGGACATTTCGCTCGCAGGCACTGGCACATTAGAAAATAAGTTCTTTTAATTCTTTTTTGATTTATGTTCTTTTTATATATTTTCGGATTTATTTATAAGTGTCATTGTAAAAAGAGAATAAGAGAAAATTTGATTCGTACATATTGTTATTTTGTAGTTGTGAATATTTTCGAATATAGTGCTCCAAGTACGTATTAATAGAATGTAATAATATTATTTTCTTATCTCAATACTTTACTTTTATAAAAATCATAAAGTTTGTGTTAAAAGAAAAAAAGAGTATCATTAATAAGTTTATTCTGACCCAGGCCCAATCATAATTGTGACATTTATTGTTGTTATTCAACAACTTTTTTTTTTTATTTCAGCAACACGCACAACAAGTCCTTGGCAGGCTTCGCCTCCATCTCAACAAAGATCTCTGTTAAAATTTGTCTAATGACACACGGCCTATTGTTGCGGTGCTAGACTGCTTACATTATATTCATGAGAAGTGGTCACTGCGTCAGCTACATCTACAACCTGCAGACCACACCAGACAGGCCACAGTAGGCCTATTCGCCAACTGCTTTTGACAGATGGAAGTAATAATCACAGCTATTTAGTGATCCACTACTTCTGCTTTATATAACACCACTCAGATACTTGTTCAGAAAAGCATCGATTAATATTCAATTTTCTCTTTATTTATATACAAAAAAACATAAAAATTGGCAAATAGGCTGACGAGCATCTCTGACAAAAATGTAACAATGTAATGTACAGTTTCAAAGGCATCTGTCATAATTTATGAATAAAAATGTTACATATTTATTTTAATGAGTTTTACTATAAATAATCACCCTTTTATTAAATTATCTTCATTTTCATTGCAATGGGGGTTTACGCAACTCGCCGGTCTATATTATATATCATTCAGAATTAAGTAGGTATGTATATTAAATATAGGAACTACACAGAAACTAATTCTTAAATAGTTAGTTTTTATGTAGAACATTTAAAACGTTCAATCTAAATAAAGAGGAGCCCGGAGACGCAGGTGCTTAGAGTATTCATCCTGCAATCATGAAAGTTAGGCAACTTTTGGTAATTGTATGGGTGACCAAAAACTTATTATCTCGATCTTCTCCGTGTTTCAGATGACACATCAATCTATTGGTCCCAGCTGCATCTGCAGTCCTTAGCACTGATCAGTCCGCACTAGGTCCTACTACTAGGTGGGTCACGGCCAGTCTCCCTATTCCATCTGCCTCAACAGTGGGGGCAGGAATAGGCTGATGATGAAATAGTTCAATAAAATCATTACTTTTGTAGTTTACTGTGGTGAAGGGTTAAAAATATGAGTGACTATTTTTTAAATCTAAATATATTTATTCAATTAACATTAACTACATTTAATGTTTACACAACACCGTTGCCTTATGCTTTTTACTAAAGGTTCTTTTGGTCTTATTATGGTGATAAAGGTACAGTCTATACTACCAACAGCTGCAGGCATTTTAAATTTCTCCAAAAATCTGTAACAAAAGTAAAGTTTATTAAAATAACTCCAAAAAAATATACCTAGTAGTTTTTTTAAAGGTAAATTGGTCTAAACCAAAGTTAAATGTCGTTTATTGACTCTCGTTCCTTCCGGTTGACTGGTAGAGAATGCTATGCTGGCATTAAGACCGCCATATGTAATGTAAAGGCATTAAAAATTAATTAAATAAAAAGTGGTCCTGAATAGCAGTTAGCATTAACTACTTAAGTATTAGATAATTTAAATAAACTACAAATAGAAATTTTATTACCCACATAAAATATTCTAAAATAATTAAAGTAAAGGATTGCAAAAACTAAGAAACACTGTTCTACTTGAATTATATGTAATATTTATACCGTAGGGTCTACTTTATTATATCTTTTGTACACCTATTTGCCCAAGTATTTGTTTAATTGTAGTGAATCAAAGTTTACTTACCAATTCTTTATCACTTGGCATTGTGATGCATTTTGCTATGTCTGGATGACATAAAATCTTAAAAAGGTGGCAATTTCATTTACAAGTCTTGATATTGATGGTTGGGATAAATGTGTGTAATTTTTTGCCCTATTATCCTTAGTAACTCCCATTTGCACAAATGAAAGTGTACACAGTATCTGAAACAAAAAAAACTTTTTATTCTTATATAATTGTTATAAAAAGTTTCTTGGTTGGGTTTTATTTTTGTTATGCAATTAGGTACTTTACCTTCATTCTATTGGATAATCCTTTTCCATTACACTTGGTTTCTTCTAAATGAATACTTTAAATCATTTTCCAATTGTTGAAAAAAAACTTTATTTAGTCACATATTCATCTTCACATGAAATTACTCAAGGTTACACAGAAATTGGGCTTGTAGGCGGCTTCTGGCCAAATCTACATCATACATGGGCTTTCTATAGTAAAAAGCAAGTAATAGAGTGAGTCATCTGAAATACTAGATAGACATAATTTTAAAGAATTATTACTTAAATAAACAAAAGCAACGTAATTATAAATAATTTAATAATTACTCTTGTTTTATGATGATAATAGTCTACAGAAATACTCACTTCGTACAATCACTTCTATTACCGCAGCTAATGAGTAACTTTTATTTTGACAGTTACTTTCGAGTGCGGTTTTTAATGTGAGGTGTAAACAAGCGCTGAAATTCGTTACAGAATGCCATTGAAACGTCAAAGCCATTTAGGTATGATATGGTCTCACCTGTGATAGTTTACTAAACCGCCACTCTCACTTAGTAGCGCCAGTGTCGATTCTCACTCGATTACAGAGATGTGCATAGAGTAAGCCCTCATTCGGCCAAGTTACCAAACTTTAAAAATAAGACTATTTTAACTTTACATTCATTAAAACTTTAGACTTGAGCCTCATATCTACAAATATATCTAAAAAATAAATTTACGTGCTTTTTTTCACGCATAATAACTAAGTCGATATATCTCGATTTACCAAAAACTTTTAAAATGGTAACACTACAAATTACTTAGGATATGAATGACATCTCGCTTCACTTGCTTGTACAATTGGTTACAGAATGCGAAAATTCCGTGAATCGAAACCTAGAGAGCGAAAGCAAAATGGATCCGACACACACAGTGAGATGAGATTATGGGTTTTACAGAATTGCACTACAGGTCTGTAAGGGAAATGTGAGTTGGGAAAATCACCACGGTCCGCATTGAGCTACTGCCGCAGGAGTTTTTTTTTAAATTCTTTATTTGTTTAGAAGTTTTGATCGACATATTCGATCAAGCCAGCTCACTGGAGGAAGAGGTGTCGCATTTTAGCGTGTTTCCCGCTTATTTTCCCGGGTACGCTTGGCTGTTCCTCTGTGGGTACAGAGAAAGATCAATTTTAACCGATGTAGTCTTGGCCATGAGTTATTTAACATTAACAGGTTGGTAAATGGTACTTATGTAAAACAAAGTACTTCCCAACAAAAACGAGTGGCAACCCTGACTAGATTTAAATGAATATAAAAGGTGGGTCCTACTGATTTAAATATTAAATACATATGCACTAGTCACGCTATGATAATGGCGTTGCATTACACTTGCTCTGTGTTATTATATTACTCGTATTTCTTCAGTGTTGGCTGTTGGTTGACCCACACTTACCATCCACGTATAACAAAAATTATAACCAGTGAGATAATAAAATCAACAAGAAAAATAAGATATCAAGAAGAATAAGGAATTTCAGGAAAGTTCTAGATGAAACATTCGCGTTTAGTCTATGAATCCGACTTTAACTAGAGAGTTTCTGCAAAGCTAAAGACACCTTTTCAAAGAGAATCCCAATTGGAGAAGAGTCATTTTACCAATATGTACTTCGAAAATACAAATACCTACATAAGAATTAATTACAGGAGCGTTTTTCTTCTTGCGTAAAAAAGTCCCGACCTTTTTAACCGGTTTTACAATGTTCACAACTTTCAACGCCCAGCATCCAAAATACAGCGAAGACCAGTCAGACAACTTTCCAGTTAAAAAGTGCTTTTCTATGACATTCTAGATGTAGAAACTGTACCCTTAGCACGAACCAATATCGAATTCGTAACGTTTGCGAAGTCCGAAATGTCATTATCAAATGTGTATTTTGTATGGAAACTTGAACAGCACCGCCACAAAGAGAACTAAAAATCAGTACACATTTGACAATGACATTCTGTACTCTCAAACGATGCATACGAATTCGATATTGGTTCGTGCTAAGGGTACAGTTGTGAAGTAAAACTTTACAGCCTTGCGACTATTCCGCCGACGTTACTTTCAACATTTTTTTTAAGTAATTTATGATGTACGTTTTTTGTATAAAGATTTCTTTCGTTTTTTAGTTACAGGTTTCTATACATTGCATGTCTACTATCGGCCAAAAACGCCCGAACTATAAAGCTCGTGCATACCTACGATATCTTGCTCAGGTTTCATAAAAAGATGAGAACAGTTGACCCGGCCTTATGGAGCAAAGCGCTTATCAGGAAGAAGAAAATCGGGTCTCGTCAGAGGACTATCAGGCGGTATGGAGTGTTTGAGGAGAGAGTGCGTGCCAGCTTCTGCGACGCGTTTCGGGAGTACTTGAGGCATTCCACAGCGCCTGGGCTAAGATACATCGTGGATATCGATGCCAGAGCACCTGTAAGGTAAGCTTGTTATATGTTAAGGGTTTACAAATGCCCAAATCAGATGTATAGTAATGAAACTGTATTATAGTTAATCTATTTTTACCCGGCTGCGCAATGCAAGAGCGCGAAGCGCGACGCGCAGACAGGGTTATGTGTTTAACAGTCTATATATGTATGTTTGTTCCTTTGTGGCACACTAGAGACCAAACGCCTGGACCGATTTTTTACTAAGCATCCGATCTCCGTCGCATATGCAGTATTGATTCTTAAAGAATACCTACCTCAGACTATGATAAAAGTTTTAATTGTAAAATATTTAAATGTTCTCTATATTATAATAATAAAAAAAAACGTTTGTTTGTAAATACTTACTCGGTTTTCTTATATTTAACACGTTTCGTATGCTTCATATCTACTATACCAAATAAGTTTTTGAGTACCGACTTGTTTGGTTTTTTTTCATTGGTCGTTCGAGGCGGATCTAATGTATTGCTTTTATTAGATACCAGCTATGCGCCGCGGCGTTACCTGCGGTTTATTAGGGATATTTTCCCGCAGTAAAATGAATTTTATGTGTTAATCCAAGCTGTCAGCTAACTCCTCACCAAATTTTATTAAAATCGCTCCAGCCGTTAAGGCGTGAAGAAGTAACAAACATACACACTCACAAACTATCGCCTTTATAATATTAGTATGATTACGCTGATTACATTCTTAACAAGTCTTGTTTAAGTAATCACTCCATTAAAATTTTCAACAATTTAACGAGTTTTGGTGTAAGTAGTGCTCTTTTTTATGGGTGGCAAACAAGAGTATGATCCGCATCCGCCTGATGGTAAGTGGCCACCATATGACTATAAATACTTGCGTTACGAAAAATATCACTCGCACCGTTGCCTACCCCGACCCAATGGCTTACCGGAATTGTGAAATACTAAGTGTCGCCGCACACGGGCCACACGCCACAGCCACAAACGCCGCCACGAGAAACTAGAAGCGGAGCTACTAAAGTGGCTGAAGCGCGCGACAGCGGCCGACTAAGGTAAGGGAGCGAGGAGTGGGGAATCGCGCGAATGACGTGTGGCAGCATTTTTAATCGGCGCATTAAGTGGCCGGTGCGGGCCACAAGAAACGAGCAACGACGATTTGTAGCGTGGGGCCGCCACCGGCGTACCGTATGTGGCGAGTCCATATAAAATGTTTTGTGGTTGTGATCGGTGGCCCGTGTGCAGCGACACTAATAGTATAAATGAAGAATATTGATATTTTAATACAACTTATTAGTCTCGTAAACGTACCATGGTAGATAACTATATTTTTTTATGAGCACACGAAATCACTGCCGGATTTAGGGGAGGGCAACCGGGGCGAAAGCCCCGGGGCCTCCACAAACGGGGGGCCCCCACAATAGAGACTTGGGAAAAAAAACTTTCAAATTCCAACTAGTAAACACTAGTAAACATCTTTTCCTTTGATATTTTTTTTTACTCTTTTACCTTTACCTACAGCCTACAGTACTTTGTACATCTAACATACATGATTATTTGATTATATTAATCTTAAATAACAGAAATCATTGATCTATATTTGTTCACTCCAATCAGGCAATCAGTGAAATATCAAAATCTCAAATGGCCCTGATAAGCACTTCCAATAGGGGTGATGACGGGGTACAATAAACGAAATTCTATTTAGTCCGTCAGTTAGATGATCAAAAAATAATGGAGACGTATTTTTTCTTTGGGCAATCAACCAAAAAATGACAAAGTTATAGCGCGTCAAAGTTTGGGAGTAGGGGCTCGTGACGTCACTTTTGAGTGAATTTTCACTTCTAAGTGTACTCAAACGTGACGTCATGCGACATTTCAAATCAATATATCTCTGCAATGTTTATATAATGTGAAAAAAGAAATAATAAGTGTCCAATACTTTTTGATAATCTAGCTGATAAACAAAGAAAAAAAAAATTAGTCATCATCCCTATTCACTACCCATCTTGAGGGAGTACCCCAATCGCTTAATGGCTGAGTGGGGTGGTACTTGCCCGCAGGGCCGAATTTAAGGCAGGGCAGGTAGGGCTGTGGCCCAGGCGCCTCCACAACAGCTTAAGAAATAACAACATTTCGATGGGTTAACAAGAATACAAATCCTAAGTGGCCCGGGGCCTCCGCAATCCTAAATCCGGCCCTGCACGAAATATAACCTTTATGCAGTTAAACTTGAATGTAATGATTTTAGGTGCTGTTATAGTGTTTTGATGTTATGTTTGGTGGCATGGGGAACTTCAGCCGTGATATATGTGAGCGTGGAATACCAAAATCAACCACCTCTTCAAATAGACTTCCGTGGTAGGACGCACGACATGGGTGTAGCCTTCCCGGCCGTTGCTATTTGCAGTAATACTCTCATCAACAAAGCAGCGCTCGACGCATATACAGACTATTTGTAAGTACATCAAGGGACATATGACATCAAATTTGTCCAGACGCAAAAGTGTGTCACACTACATAAAGATGAACAAGCGAGTTTGATCGCAGTTACGGTTTGATCGCAATTACGGTTTGACCGACATATCTTGGCAGGTCTGAAGCTTTGAATATTTAAAGTAAATAATCAAAGGTCTAAAGTGAGCCGTTCAACTGCGCAGTTAGGCTGGCGCTGCCAGCTGCAGCCAATATAATCGTTATTTCAAGGATTGATAAAATTTGATAACTTCATCACTTCCCTTGAGAACGCAGGATAAGAAACACGCCACTAGCTGTAGCTGTCCTCAATACAGACAGGTACCTTTTTTAATGGAGGTGTAAATTAGAAACAATTTTCCAGAAATTCGAAAAACAAGAACAAAACATTCACCAGGAAGATGATCAGAAGTCAGCTTGAGTCGTTTGGGAACTTGCTTACTCTCATTTCACCGCTACCAGATATGGATTTTATGAGGTTCATTTACGATAAGGACCCCGATTTCAATGTTACAAAATATATGTATGATGTGAGTCGATATTCCATATTTGGTATCTAGCTTAACTACTTAACTTACTGAGCAGTACTTAGACACGTCAATTAAGTTTAATGGTTTTAATATCGTCGTAGGCACCTCAAACACTATTGGTGCATAAGTATTAAGCTTTGGTTACACTGACGTCTCCAAACGGAGACATTACCATTTCAATTCGATTATGGATCGAGAACTTTTAATGCTCTACCTTTTCAGCAGTGGCATATTTTGAAATCTGGCGCCCCGGGTCATTTACTCGTACATACGATTTGAATCCCCCCTTCCCCATCAATAGAATAAGTAAATCGAATGCCTTCATATGGCTTTTACCAACCTTTGTAGCTCTTGCAGCTGCCCTTCGCAGCCTGCCATGGCTTCTAGGTCCTAGAGTAAATATGCTTCTGTTCTTCAGTGTTGTAACGTAGGTAAAAGTTGCAACCCATTCTACTATGCATTTTCAGATAAAAATCCTTATCTGACGGGGGGAGCTGCTACATAGTTCAATATGAAAATAGTGCCAAATCATTGTAATGGCCAGCAAGATTGTAAGCGGCCACCATATATACCTATAAGTAGACGCTTGCGATTGGCGATACCATACCACTTGGCAGTTAAATCCGACGGCTTTTTGTCCTTTCCTCTCAGGCGGGCAAGTGGGTGTGAAATCCTCAAGGACCCTGCCCTACAGCCAGCTATTGAGTTATGTCAAACTCTTAACTGTCATCGGTCTGTCGGTCATCATCAGCCTTTTAATGCCCCCACTGCTGGTGAACGGCCTTCCCTATGAGTGGAATAGAGAGATTAGACCATGAATCACCGCCACCACTCTCGCAGGACCAGTGGGTTTTCATTGGTCATTGGAGGGTGCGAACGACTGCAGATGCCGCCGGTATCAACGGATTAATGTGCTTTCAGAAGCACGAAGGAGCTCGAGATAATACTTTTTTAGTCACCCATCCACTGATCGCAGTCCGAATGCGCGCCGCTAACCATCTGCGCCTTCGAGCTCCTCTTGTAGGTAATACCTAAGGCTTTTGCATGCGTGATTCAGTTGTTTTGTTTCCTCCTTACAGTTTTCTCCGAAGTGCTCCCAGATGCTGGTGCGTTGCGGGTGGCGCGGTTACGCAGTGCAATGCTCGAGTCTCTTCGCCGAGCGGCCCACCTCACTCGGCTTCTGCTGCGTATTCAACTCCAGATATCAGTTAATTTTGATTCCAACTGATTATCTTATCACTAAACTATCCGCTCTCTGTCGAAAACTATCAATTTACTTGGTTATGTGTACGTGTCTCCAAAGGGCGGCAGAGGGGGCATCTAGGCATTTAAAAAAAAAAGCCAAATGTGAAGCAACCAAAGGCTCCACTAAGTAAAGCCAAACTCAACTGAGTTAAGAGCCCTACAAGTGTGTTTTTTTATTATTGTTTTATTATTACAGTCCAGCGGATTTAAAAAATCAGCCTCATACCTTGAACTTGGCGGGAGAAAACAAAGGGCTGATCGTACTCGTTACCGAAAATCCCAACGATGCTGCCATCTCACGGCGAGTGATCGAAGGATTCGATGTTAGTACCTACCTATCTATCACAGAGCACCCCACTAGAGACCGCATAATGAGCACCGCTTCTGCCAAGCTTGTATAGTAATGCTTAAAGAGTGTCACGCCACGGCCCAAACATCGCGATATAAGTTTGCACTTAATTTGAAGATGTAAAGCATGCTGAAATGGGGGATATAATTCTCAAAAAAAATGGTGAAAAACTAATTTTAGTCGATACAACCGTTTTCTTAGGCGTAACATTAGACCACAAACTTCAATGGAACCGTTACATTACAACACTAGCCGGTAAACTTATTTCCGCTGCTTATGCAATCTATAAAATAAGACGGCTTACAGATGTCGACACTGCTAGGACAATATACTTCAGCTATTTTCACAGCATTATGTCGTATGGCATTCTATTGTGGGGCACGGCCGCTGACATAGAAACAGTTTTTATTCTTCAAAAACGCGCTATAAGAGCTATTTATCGCTTGGAATCTAGAACTTCTCTATGGGATAAATTTAAAGAAGTAGGTATAATGACTGTTGCCTCTCAATACATTTACAATTGTATATTGTTTGTGCGTCAGAACATAAATTTATATACGAGGCGCGATGATGTACATAATTTCAACACCAGAAATAAAGATAAACTCAAATTGCCACCATTGAGACTCCAAAAGGTTCTTGGTTCATATGTGGGTCAAGGTATATGTTACTATAATAAAATACCAAAAGAAATAATTAATTTACATTTCAATAAGTTTAAAGTGTGTCTAAAAACATGTCTCCTAAAGAAAGGTTACTATACTGTTAAGGATTTCATAAATGATAAGTCACCTTGGGCTTAATATAACAGACTAAGTCGTTTTACTTTGCTGATTTGGTTGAAATTTGTTTAATCGCCACTTCTAAATTTAAAAGTTGTACCTAGCTATACTTAACTTTTGTTAATTAATAATATTAATGTGATGGAAGTTGATATCAACACATGTTTTAAAATTTTGATGTCATCTTTCAATTAACGACACTGTTTGAAACAAAACAAGGAGAAAATATAGCCCTTGCTGAGTTTCTTGCCGGTTCTTCTCAGTACAAGGTCTCCCGCCGTAGATTTACGAACCGATGGCGTAGCGTTTGACTTTCACAAGAGCTTGTAACAGCCTAGACTGAATAAATGAGTTTGAGTTTGTAACCCAAATCTGACTGTGACGTCACACAGAATTGTCCAATCAAAACTCAACTTACCTTCCCCGCACTCCGCACACTTTGGCGTTTCTATCTCCAACAAAAATTTTGTAATGCGGTCTCTGCTGGGGTGCTCTGTAGTATCTACATGCGTCATATTAAGAAATGATATGATACATGAGCCAGTGTTGCTAGGTCAGCGTGCAAAAACTTCAATTCTTCGAAAACACCACCGCCACAGGAATCATAGGGGGCACTAATATTTTGAGAGGTCTTAGTGATCAATACAGGAATTGATCACCGACACGTCCGAGGCACTCCAAATGTCAACTTTATATCTGAGAGAGTCCGCCTGGCGAAGCCTTCTCTGCGACGTACGCCGTTCCAAGTCGCCTTTGGGTTCGGAAACTTTCCAGTTTGAACTAAACCACTGTTAACGACCGTAACCGTAAGGTCACGTCTCAGCTAAAGAACGTGGTGTCTAAACTTTCTTTCGAGACTCTTGTGAAGGAAGACGAGAGATGCCATCTACAGAGTTGTCTTCGTCAGATAAGTTTACTGTAAATCTAAAAATTAGGAAGCTGATGCGACGCGACCTCCGTTGCTCCAATACCCGCGTTATCAAGGCTGCGATCGAGCAAAGCAAAGAGGGCCGAAAGTGTGCGCTCAACAATTAGGACAAAACTTAAAAATGTGGATGGCAGACTATACCTCAAGCCCGAGATTCTCGGTGAAGTCGAGAGGTTTTATGGACACCTGTACTTAAGGCGGATGGTGAAACCGACATGACCCAACAGTATACCGCAAATCCCCTCACTGACGCGCCATTATAACGGGGACATCCGGGATATTGACCAAGGCGAGATCAGGGCGACTCTCGAGCAACTTAAAAACAACAAGGCACCCGGGGATACACATCTCACATCTTCGATTCGCAGATGACATCGTCATATTGGCAGAGTTGCTGGTTGGATGGAATGTTGCATTTTCACGAAACCTTTCAGCGAGTCGGTCTTGGTATGAATTTGGAAAAAATTTAGGGTTTTTGAAAAAACTTATCTTCAACATCCGTAGTCCTGCCGAGAACGATAAGCGTCGAAGGGTCGGTGATAGAAGTTGTGCAGGAATACGTCTACTAAGAGCAGACCATCCAGTTCGGTAGACACAACTTCGAGAAAGAAGCCGACAAGAGGATTCGATTGGCTGGGTCAGATTAGATGCGGAAATTGTGGTGCAAATTGGGAGATGCCTTTGTTCAGCAGTGGTCTGCGATAGGCTGAGTTGATTGATTCATTGTTTATAGAACAAAAAGAGAGCATTATCGGCATGTGACGATGCACAGCATCTGTGAGAGTGCGTCGACTTCCGGTCTAGCGATTTCCGTTAATTTTACTTACCGCCATTGTCGTTGCTATGGTAACTTCCTTTAAATTAATACTTTAAAAGACTTACTTCCGTTTGGCGCCATTTGAGTCACCTTAAAAGGAGTTGTTGGTGCGCAGTGTTCCCATAGCGTCGTCAACTTTCGTACTAGCAACATCTTAAGCAGAAATTCTGCTCGTGATTGATTCGAAAGTTTACTCTTTTTAGAAAAAATGTTTATTGTTAAAGTAAATAGTTAAAATAAAAAATGAGTGAATGTAATTCAAGTGATAATAAAGTGTACATGATGGTGGTTGGTGATGAATGTGCCGACCGCGCTTCGAACGAGGGTAGTTCCGTCCGGCAGCAGGCAGGCGGAAAGCGGCGTGCGAGTTCGGAGCTTTCTTCCGAATCGGAGGTAAAACGAAAGAGACAAGGTACGTCGGATATTGATAATTACAGTATGCTTTTAAATCAAATGAGTGTGCTTACAAATCTTTTAATGAATAATTCGAATAACGTACCTCAATCCAAAAGTAACGATCTGTCTTCTGATCACACTTTAAAACAGTCGTTCTTACAACGCCCCGCTACTATCACAGAAAATAACCTTGAATTAAATATTGGAGTAATGAATACTTTGGTGAAAGAACCAAAGATACTCAGCGCTGACCCCACTAGACTTAGAAAACTAGAGCAATTACAAAAATTTAACGATATTAATTGGAAAGAGGTTCGGTATTCAGATGCCTTAAAAACCTACAGTGCTCAACCGGGTTTTGTCGAACTTCGTATTAATGACGAATTGCGTCAATATATAAAGGCAAGGATCTTGCGGTCCCCGTGAGCGATCTTTGGCAGCTATTACAAACGGATTGCTTTCTCAACATGAGTGCCTTAAACAACAACTACAGGAGTTTGTCAACTGGGCAGCCGCGCCCAACACTGAGCTTAATCCTTCAAGCGTGTTTGACAAAATATCGGACCTGTTTAATGCTCAGTCTAAATTTCATAAAATAAGTGAAGATATAATGCAAATAGTTTGTGGCAAACGTGCCGAATGTATTGAAGTACGTCGAGAGCGTATCTTGGCGGAAATACCTAACAAATATTTTCGTGAGGGCTTACGAAGAATCCCTCCCAGTTCGGAATTTTTATTCGAAAGCTCTGCTTTGCAATCTTATATTCAAAGCACCGGGGGAATCGATAAGTGGATCCGACACTGGAGTGATAGTGACAACGAACTCAAGCGAGTCGTCCAAAGGCAGCCCAAGGCGGGACCATCACGTGACCGTGGCAATAAGTCCTTTCGAGCTGATCAAAAACAAGGAATCGCGAAGCCAGAACCTTCCTCTACAGCCGCTAAAACGGTTAATGTCTCGAAATTAAGATAATTTAATCGAAAAGAAGGATCTTCCAACGATAAGAAAAAAATCAAATGACTACCAAACATTAAACCGACATTTTTACGGGGGCTGTCTCCGAGCGTATCGGAGGCAGTGGCAGGCGCATCAGGCTCCGAAGGCTATCCTGAAAATGATATCAGGGATGCGTCTCCCATTCACCTCCAGGCCTGTGCTTGTCCCACCAACACAGCCCAATCTTCAGCGGTTCAGAACTCCAGAGTCACCAGATATGACCATACAAATCGAGACCTTGCTATCACAACAAGTTCTTGAAAAACCGGATCAAAATCGGCTGGGTATGAGTTTCTTTTCGACAGTTTTTCTTCGAAAGAAAAACGATGGCTCTTACAGACCAATTTTCAATCTCAAAAGCCTAAATCAGTACATAATTCCAAAGAAATTTCGTTTGATATCTCATTTTCAAATCCCAAAATTTCTTCAGAGTCAGGACTGGATGGTGAAGATAGATCTTTCAGTTTTCAGTTGCCACCGCCGGTTCCTGCGCCTAATTTACCAGGGGGATGTGTACCAGATGACCAGTCTTCCCTTCGGGCTGTCGTGTGCACCAAAGTACTTCGCAACAATCACCAACTGGGTAGCTCATCTGCTTCGGAAGAAAGGTATAAGAATCCTGGTTTACCTCGACGATTTTTTACTGGTCAATCAATCAAGGGAGCAGTTGGAAAAGGAAGTGATTGCTCCGAAGGCTATCCTGAAAATGATATCAGGGATGCGTCTCCCATTCACCTCCAGGAAGTGAAAACAACCTAGCAGCTGCTACAGCTGCTAGGTTGGACCATCAATCGCGAGAAATCTGTATTGACACCGAGACAAGAGCTGGAGTACCTAGGCATTACATGGAACACCGTCAGAAACTTCAAAGCTCTTCCTCAGTCAAAGGTAAAATCGATTTTGACCATGACGAACGGCATGTGCAAGGCACCAACTGCGACACTGAAGGAACATCAAGAACTACTGGGAATTCTCAATTTTGCCAGTTTCTCAACACCTGGAGGAAGACTGCATTGCCGGCACCTACAGGTCTTGTCGGAAGCTCCTGAATCTGGCACCAGTCCAGTCAATGGTTTTGACACCAGAAATAAGATCAGACATGAATTGGTGGATGTCAATCATAAAAGAAGGTCACACAAGCAGTCACTTACACGAAATACCTGTTCAACATTTCTTGACAACGGATGCTGCGGATTACGGTTGGGGAGCTCAGCTAGACGATCACTCGATAGCAGGCAAGTGGAACCAAAATCAAACTCGTTGGCATTGCAACTTAAAGGAGATGTTTGCGACAATATCAGCAGTGAAATACTTCAAACACATTCTGAAGGGTAGACACATAATTCTCCAATCGGACAATCGGACCGTAGTTGCTTATGTTCGAAACGAGGGAGGGACGCATTCAGAAGCACTACTGGATTTGACACACAATCTTTTTCAAATATTAGACCGATCGAAGATAATACTCACGGCGGAATACCTTCCTGGACGATACAATCAGATTGCAGACAGTCTATCCAGGGGCAAGAAATCTGCGGAATGGCATCTGCAACCAGAAGCTTTAGAAACGATATCTCTTTGCGTCAAAGGACACGAAGGTGGTACCAGCTTATGTATCCAAGGTTGCGAGCGACTCTTCAGCAGCTTTCTGCAACGCCTTCAGCAAAAGCTGGAATTTCAAATTAGCATGGGTCTTCCCACCACCTTCTCTGGTACCCAGAGTACTACATCATCTGAACCAAGCACGAGGTACGTTCCTTTTAGTAGCACCACTCTGGAAACGAGCTTACTGGCTACCCGACCTGCGCCAGCGAGCTTTGACACGTCCCATGAGAGTGGATAACCTTCATCAGGTCCTAATAGATTAGATGACAGGGCTACCACCTCCTCAGGTCCAGGATATGCAACTTTTAGTATGGAAAGTTGGGGGTGGGCCGATGAAATAAAGGATTTGACTGAAACAGAGAAGTCACTACTCAAGCAAAGCTGGAGGGAATCTACTCTCAAGACATATAGACCAGCCTGGCTTTGTTGGACTCAATGGTGTCAGGACAACGTTTTTGATTATAAACATCCCAATAGCAGTTCTCTTTCAAAATATTTAGCTTATTTGCACTTACAGAAAAAAATGTCATACTCCACTATACTCTTGCATAAATCTGTTATTTAAACTCTAGGCCTTCCCAGAGAGGATCTAAATTCAAATTTTTTGATAAAACATATGCTCAAAGCAATTTCCTTGCAACAGCCTGTAAAAGAAAAGGCTCCTATTTGGAATCCATCTGATTTAATTTCATGGTTAAGCTCTAATTCACCTGTCAGGCTAAACCTGTTTGAAGCTTCCCGTAGACTAGCTTGTATATTGCTTTTAGCATCTGGTAGAAGAGTCCATGATTTGACATTGCTAAAGTTAACTCCTGAACTCTTTAAGGACATGGGTGACCATATAATATTATGGCCTATATTTGGTTCTAAAACGGATACCGCACTATATAGACAGTCAGGGTGGAAACTGACAAATAACACAAATAAAAATATTTGTCCAGTGTTTTGGTTGCGTAAAGTGTCAGAACTGGGTGAGCAGAGAAGAACAGCGGAGTGTAACAACGCCTTATTTATTTCCAACACTGGCGAAAGAAAAGCAGCCACTAGAACTCTTATCGCTAACTGGATAGAAACTGTATTTAGGGATGCTGGTATCAAAGTGTCCCCAGGTAGTGTGCGCTCCGCTGTAGCTTCGTTGAATTGGTGGGATAATTTACCCATTGATGATATTCTTTCACGGGGTAATTGGCGAAGTGAAAATACTTTTGCAAAGTTTTATTTTAGACAAATTAAAAGCAAACCTGATTTGGTTAATACAAGTAATGCCTTGATTAAAAACTTCAAACCAATTCAATGAAAACGTTTGTCAGATCTAATAGGAAATGTCATACACGTATTTATTTAAATCAATCTTGGATCTGTAAGGATAATTTTGTTACATTATTATTGATTACACGCAAATAATTAGTTGAAATATGATAATGTGCCTTAAAACAATTAAATAAAACATTAAATAATGATATTTGTATTTATTTATTTATGTTATGTATAAAATATGCACCTAACATATATATACCAGACATGTTACAGGTATATTTTATATAAACCAGATTGGTAATCATCACATAGCGTCATCATCACACATAGTCACCAGGAGCTAATAAACACGTCTCTCACAGATGCTGTGCATCGTCACATGCCGATAATAGTACAAGTTTTACATAATAATAAAACTTGTATTATGGAGCAGAGACGATGCACAGCATCCAATTAAGGCCTCCTGGTGAGAGACTTCTATGAGAACACTGCGCACCAACAACTCCTTTTAAGGTGACTCAAATGGCGCCAAACGGAAGTTAGTCTTTTAAAGTATTAATTTAAAGGAAGTTACCATAGCAACGACAATGGCGGTAAGTAAAATTAACGGAAATCGCTAGACCGGAAGTCGACGCACTCTCACAGATGCTGTGCATCGTCTCTGCTCCATAATACAAGTTTTATTATTATGTAAAACTTGTACTAATAACTACTGTTCCGTGGTTTGTAGCTACCCACACGCGTATTTATACTTTAAAGATGGTGTTTAATCAATTTTTAAATTTCAAATTTTTGCAGGTTTTGATATTCGATGGCATGCAGTACCCGCTGTTGCAGTCGGGTCTAGTGCACTTACTGCCAGTGAATAGAAATGAGTCGGTGTTCTTCCCAATACACACGCATATACAAAGACCAACGAACAGACTACTTGAATACAACGAAAATTTGGTAAGTAAGATATCCCTACTTAAGTGTATATACTTATGTAATAAGACAGATGCGGCACAATGTAGAGATTTGTGGTGACGATTGCAAGAGACATTTGCCAGTCAATGGCAAACAGATATTGTAGGCACATCATGATACCTATCTTCCTTTAAGAATTAGTTAATGTATTAAATATATCAGCATAAAAGCCTATTATTATTATGTAATAAGACAATATTGGTAACTTGAAACGGCGTGTTCATATCCTGTAAGTGTGCAGGCTAATAAACTTGATGGGGTCTTAGATTAAAACTTTTTGTTTTAATCTAAGGATGGGGTAGGTAAATATGGCCGAATGACAGGGATTAGTGAATACAACACGCCTGTAATGTCACAGTCATCATCAACTATAGTGGCCACTATCGGACAAAATACTCACAAATCTGCAACTCCTGTTACAAAAACAAATGTTGATGATCTCCCAAAGCGATATTTGGCAGCGTCTTCCAGTGATATCTATTAAAATTTTAATGGTTTTGGTAGCGACGCTGTGGTCTTAATAACAGAGACGGTCCTCGTAACGAGCGCAGCAGTTTCGCGTGGTGTCTGATAAAATGCCACCGGCGGACCATTGCCGCTTTGTGCAACTGTTTACCATACAACCTGATGCCCGGCGCCAGTGACACTACCTGCACTCCAGAACACCTCGCCTGCCTAACTAAACATAAGGGTGAGATTTACGTACCACGTACAACACAATAAATTCTGTGGGCGCGGCCATTACGTGACATGACCAATCAGCCATAGATTAACTAAGGCACAGATTAGGCTGTTACCTCAAGAAAAAAAGTCGGATAAGTGTAGTTCTGCCATAGATTTATCGTATTTTGATTATATATTATCTTTATTTATTTTATGAAATGATATTTATTTCTTACTTTTTATTTTTTTAAATTGCATTTTATATATTTCACATAATTTAGCACTATATCGCATTTTGTTTGGCGTTGGGACGAAAGTACTACCACAGTAGCATAGCTGAGACAGCGACCTGTTGGCCCTGCACAGCAACACCAGCAGATTAGTTTTGTTGTTTTTGTTTATTATTTTTCTTTGTTGTTATGTTCTTTCAATAGTTTTGTTTTTAATGCATGTATGCTCTGCAACCAATAAATGTTTTTTTTTCTTTCTTTCTTTATTTGAGACTTAAATCCTTCCGCTTATATTCAGCAGTTGCTCTATGTAGTACAATAGTCTACCAGACAACCTGCTGCCCAGCACCAGTGAAACTACCTGCACTCCAGAGCCTGCCTAATATAGAGGTGAGAATTGAGACCTTAATCAAGACCTCACCTGTCAAGTTATCAAGCAGTGCAATGTTATCGACATTTTGTGAAGTGCAATAGTCTTCCATACAACCTGGCGGAAAGGTGAAACTACATTTGACAAACGTTTCCTGGCCTGTCTGACTCAGTTGTTTAACGATAGATCATTTCCATTGATCGTTTTTCTGACAAAAATGGTTGGTTACCTAGGCACAAAGACTAACCTAACCTACCGTTTGCAGACAAGCTGTTGTACTACTATCCCGGTAAAAGCACACATCCGCACCTGACCAAGGAGCTGCAAGATTCCCAGAAGTGCACCAAGTGCGTCCCGGACTGCACGCGCGATCAGTACACCACTGTACCGTACCGCACCAACCCCTACTTTACTAAGAAGCTTTGGAGTACCCCGTTCACGTAAGTTTATGCCCAGTAAGTAGCTTTAAAATAAGGTCAGCGCTCGATATACAAATTTGATATCTGTGCACACATTGCACATAAATATTTTTTTACACATTAAATTTACGAGCTTTATGTGCGGGGTTTGCAAAACACTTACCTATATGATAGCATAATACCACTCCAATATCTAAAGAGAATTACTTTAAAAAGAAAAGAAAATTGAGGTTCATTATGCTACTAATTTTGATACTTAGATCTGCAGTATCGTTTGAAAATACGTCGGTTCTCCGATTCTACTACGACACCGTCTACCACGAAGTATACGATGTTGGTATTAACGTTGAAGTTTTTGAAAAATTCGGTGAGTTAGAGCAATTATTCATAATAATAGGTATATTGTTACGTGTCGGGTTCTTTATTCACCACACAGTTCTATAGTAAAAATGCAATACTAACTACAATACACTCACTGTACACTATACCTCCTTATTCTATCGCACACTAACACTGTACCTGCACCGTAATCGAATTTATAACAGTTTCGAAATCGTGTTGAAATTAAACTGTCGCTGTGCGAAGAAGAGAGCCCTTATATATACTAGTCAACGAATTCTAGATTAATCCAGTTCTCCCTTATACCAACATGTACCTATACGCAAGTAGCAAGCACAAGTTGTAAACAAGTTAGCAGCTGTCAGGCACTTTCAACCTTACGGGGTTATACTAAGGCTCATATTCGAATGCACCACAACACTCGGCCTATTCCTTCCGTATTTAGGTACTTTGAAGTCGCGACTTCGCGAGTACATTTAGCGACGGGCGGTCTGGATTTTGTTTCCGGAGTGTTCGTGACAATATTTTTTTTACACAGACCCATAATTTAATATCTTCAGTAAATAACAAACAGTTCTTTTATTATTTATAATTATAAACCGACGATGCTCAAAAGTAATGGTTTTTTCAGCCAAGATAAGCTGCATGGTGCGTCTACTCGTTGGTGTAACCCTTATATCTGTGTTGGAGATACTTTTTTTCCTAACAATCAGATGGGGATATCACTTTTGGCGGCGAAGCTGTCTGTAGTCGCTGTGTAGTAGCCAGAACCTAGAAAGGCTTTTACTTAAATTGGTTTGTGAAATAATTCAGGAAGTCTCTTTGTTTAGCTTTGATTTTACCAACTAGGTAGTTTTATCAAATTGAAATTGCAGAAACAAAGACTGATTCTATGAGACACACATTTGTCTACACTGGGTCTTGCTTGATATTCTATATCTAAGCAAATGAGCAGTGTTGATAGTACCACCTTATTTACAGCTCAAAAGAAACTCATTCGTATACTTGCGAACATAGAGCAAACAGATAGTTGTAAACCATATTTCAAAAAATTCGAGATTCTTAGTTTGCTGTGTATTTACATTTTAGAGATTTGTAAATTAAATTATTTTAAAAAGCGAAATGATACATCGTCACGGTACACATCACGACATGGACATAAACTACTTATACCAACTACAAGGCTGAAAATGAACTTATCTGGTCCACTTCTAATGGGTGTCAAAATTCATAACAAATTACTTAAAACGTTAGTTGAGGAAAAGGTTGATAATATATTCATAGGAAAAATTAAAAAGCTACTATTAAGCAATGTTATTACACGGTTAAGGAATTTTTAGAAGATAATAAATTAAAGGAATGATATTTACAATTTCAATTTTTACTATACCTGACATTTTATTTAATTTAATTAATTTTTATATAATAAAATTGAATATAATATAATATACTTACTATAGAATATAACATAGATAATAAATCAAATAATATAATATTAAGCTAAAATGAATAAATAATGTTGATATTAATAAATTATCGTATTTGGCGGGTAAATTGTATACGTACTAACTAAATTACAACTAGTGAATGCGTCCTCTCCTCTATTTGCTGTTACCCTGTTCAGGGTCTACAATGATCAAAGCAATGTACCTACTAAGATCTAAGAAAACATTGTAGAACGCAAATTGATGTTTACAGCTTTATTGAACCTACAAAATCTTAGACTTACAAATAGATGAGTATCTACTATGACAAATAAGAAATTAAAACATTGCCATCGGTTTGTAATCAGTTTTACATAAATTGCAAAAAAATGTACATGTACATAGAAATAAAACAATTAATTACATAACATACTTTTATTTGGTATATAGTCATTTAAAACATATTATAATGTTTTAGTTTTTTATAATAAAATGTAATTCAAAGAATATAGGTATGTAACTACATGATAGATTGAAATATTTTACAAAACTTTGTCAGTATGTTCCATAAATTATGTAAATTATTTTAAAAATACACTTCATTTCACACAACGACACTTGAAATTCGGTAAATTTATCAAAATAAGTATATATTAACTACAAAAATTTTATTTTACAAGTTTTAAAACTTATTATAGCTAAAATGACCATAACTTCGTGAATAACATTTTGTTATTACGAAATGAAGTATGTTTTTATTAATGAGAATGAGACAAACTGTATAAGATAATGGGAATTTCTGAAACTTTCGGGAATCAGGCCAATTGCGAAAGGTAATGTGATTATCTGGTACTATGAAAAGCCTAACCAATATCTGCTATGTTCTGCTTTTTGGATATTTCGACTTATTTAGATTTCATCATATCGAATCTAATCAACCTACTAGCGAACTCGCTGGCTTGTAGCTTGTAAACTCGCCCCGTGTCATCGAGGCTTAAGCGTTGTAACGGTGAACAGAGATTGCAAAAAATATATACTATGTACATCAGCCAGAATGTAGTCGAATATTAACTGCTTTGTATTAAAGTTGTATTTTTTGCCCATAGTAGATATTGGTTTGACAACGACCATTTACTTTTAGTCATTTTAACAGTGGACAGAGGTTGTACTTGTCTTACTTCAAAGAGAATGAAAAAAAGAGACTGGCCAAGTTTACAAATAGCAAATACGAATAGCCACGTGTAGTGCTACTAACATAACCAATGTCGTCAAAGACGAACTACATAAAGGACTATTTCAATCTGGCAAGAACTAAATATTATCTGCTGGCTCACAATAAAACCATTTTTTTAGATTATTAAAAAGCATTGGACACGTATTTTTGCACTTTTGTGGACTTCGCCAGCCTCGAGCATTGGATTGTTTTTTTTAAGTATGTTGTGAAAACACAATATGTTTACCTATGGTAGTAACAATGTACTTAAATTTTTATTTGGAATTGTAGATATGTTGTCTTATATTATAATCGGTATCGTATCGTATGACGTCACGTCTTAGGAAATTTTGTACTCATTAGGGGTGGGGGCTCATGACGTCACGCGTTGACGCGCTTTATCTATGTCATTATTTGGTTGATTGACAAAAGAAAAAATACGTGTCCATTATTTTTGATAATCTCACTGACAGACCTAATAGAATTAAGTTTACTTTATCCCGACATCATCCCTATTCTAAAAAAGCGATAAAAAGTTAAACATTTTTCAAATGACCTTAAAAACTGTTGCGCTTAACAATTAACTACGACATAGGATATTATAATACCTACCATTTTAGTAAATGTAAACATGTAATCAAAAAATATTATTTCTTTGAATTATATGTATAATATCACAAATTATTTATCAATCATATAATATATTTATCAAGTAATACATCTTTTATTGTAATTTTAATGCTTAAAATAACAATATAATAAAAAATACTATATTTCATCAACAGCCTCTTAATGTCTCCGATGCATTAAGCACCAACCTTATAGATAAACAGTGATAGAGGAAGATTGGTCCAATAATCACTACGCGGACGGAAATAGTAAATGATCACCAAAAAAAAACGGCCAAGTGCGAGTCGGATTCGCGCACCGAGGGTTCCGTACAAACCTTTAAGTATATTTACGGTTTTCGCAATTTTTCCTTTATCTGTGCAATAAGACCAAAAGTAGGGCTAAGTACGGTTGCTTCGTACCAAATTTCAAGATTCTAAGTTCATGGGAAGTACCCTATAGGTTTTGATTCCCTTTCGAGTTTTGAAAATTTTAAGGCATAAAGGGTGGAAGTTTGATTTTTTCACAGTAGACCCGAGTATTTGATATAAATTTCAGCTTGATACCTCCATGCGTTCCCGAGAAAAATGGTCTTGAAAGACGGACGGACGGACAACAAAGTGATCCTATAAGGGTTCCGTTTTTTCCTTTCGAGGTACGGAACCCTAAAAAATACAACTACCAACCTAACCTAACCTGAAGGATTGTAATTGTATTTATTAGTGATCATTTAAATATTTCCCTTAAAAATGTCAAGGCCAACATCAACGTAGTACCACCTCACCTAAAACTATATTAATGTAGTTATGCGGACTGTACCCTTAGCACGAACTTATATCGAAATCGAATACTTGAATTCGATCTCTTTAAGCGTCTAACGTCATAAGTTGTTGTTGTTGTTGGAAGATTTTTAATTCACATTACGTCCGTTGTGGCGCTTTTCGAATTTCCATACAAAAGTTCTAAACATTTGACGCGTGTCAAGATCGAAATTAACTATTCGAATTCGATATTGGTTCGTACTAGTGGTATTTGATCACTGTGGCCTAGCCGATTAGGATCCACATGCAGCAAATTTTCTAAATCTTGATTTAATTTAAACTCGATTTAGCCCATACAATAATGTCTAATTGATATTGACGTTTTGACATTTTTCTATAGGTTTTATCTAGTTTTAGTTGAATCGAGATTTAGCAAATTTGCTGCAAGTGGGCCTAATAACTGCTTTGGGGTACCTACTATAAGTCTCAAGATATATTTCAAAAGTAACACAGTACCACTGTACGTACAGTACACAAACAATGAATAGTATTAATAATTTCACGTATTAAACTTAATGTCAACAAAAATATAATTATCATAATAGAGAAAAAATGCTTTGACAGGTATATAAATTTTAATAATAATAAAGGTATATCAATAGAAACTATCTTAGAAATAAAGTGATTAACGTATTATACTAGTATAGTTCTCGTTCCATGCTGTATACACATAGGCTGCCCGAACCTGAAACCTCAACTGTAAAAACCTTTTAGATTTCCGAATATTATTAAAATTAAACGTATTTTTATGAGTGATACTTGATTTATACTAACACAAAAAATACGTCATAAAAATAGAATACTTAGAAAGAAAATCAAACGAATGCTCAACTGTAAAATTTTCTCAATCGAATGTGAACGTTAAATCTAGTTTTATAAAGCTCAAGCCAGCTAAAGAAATGTGCGTTGTGTATAGCTTGATCAGTTGCTGGCTGCACTTCATAGAAATAAAATTAGTAGCCCGATTTTTATTAACAGGTATATCAAAAGTTTATATTGTATACATTTGAGTGCACGAAAGAAGAAACCGGATATAAACCACGTCGGACCGATGTGTACACAGCATTAGAAATCCAATTAAAGTTTTTACATTATGGTGGCACTTCACATGGCTATTCCAATTTGCTACTTGTGAATTTGACAGCATTTTGTCCTTTTCATACCCTATAAAACATGATAAGGTTATACTGCTGTCAAATATACAAATAGCAAATACGAATAACCATGTGATATACTAGCATTAAAGAAAAACAAATTAGGCCACTGGCACCAAAATTCTTAATAATAATTAATGATACGTCAAATACATAGTAAATTTGATAAATTTTGACAAATGGTTATATTTTTTTATAGGATTTAACTATAGTCAAATTTAACTTTAGAGGAAACAACACGACTTTAGTTATGATTACCTTTTTAATTGTTTTAAGAACTTTGGTGTAAGTGGGCCACAATCTTTTAATACTTAAACTTAGCACAGGAAGAAGAAAAAAAGTTAATTTTAAAATAAGAAAATAAATTGTTACTTTTTGTCATTATTCTTTGCTGCCTTCTTCAGTTCGTCTGTGAGACGACATTTGTCAAACCTGGTTCTTGCGATTTCTATGAGCATTTTGGAGTTTCTTTCCAGTTGTTGAGACTCTTTGCCCAAATAACAATCGTATTCATCGCACAAGTCGATATAACGGCGCCACTTTATGTCTCTCGTGAGGCATGCTGGGTTGCCGACAATGACAATTTTAGCTTTGGCCCGAGTCAAAGCCACATTGAATCTCTGAAACGTTGGAATTTGTACTTTATTAGTTGCACTTTTGAACAATATAATGTAAAGTTTAATTCAGTGGCCAAAGTACGGGTTTTTTCCAGCTCCGTAACGTATTGTCATCGTCGAATTTTGTATGGCAGTTTGTTTTTACGTCCGATGGGGGCGCTGCAAACTTTATTATTGCTTTTGCAAGTGATAGAAACTTTGACAATGTTACGGAACTGCCAAACATATATGCTTTGGCCTCCAATTGGCAATTTGTTTCTAAAGAGGAGGAGACGGAACAAGATTTAAAGAACCTGCCAAGTGCGATTCGGGCTAGGACGTAGAGTTCCATACCATTTGAAATATGGGATTGTTCATCATCATCATCATCAGCCTGTTAATTTCCCCACTGCTGGGGCACAGGTCTTCCCTATGGACGAAATAGGGAGATTGGGCCATGGCCCACCACCCGGGCCCAGTGCGGATTGGCGGGTGCTAACGACTGCAGATGCAGCCGGGACCAACGGCTTAATGTGCCTTCCGAAGCACGGAGGAACTAGAGATAGTAAATTTTTGGTCACCCATCCAATGACCGACCACTGCGAAAGTTGCTTAACTTCAACGATCGCAGCCGAACGTTCTAACCACTTGCGCCATCGAGCTCCTTGCGGATCGAGGATTGTTCGGGTCATTCCTTTATTTTTAATCTAATCTCTCTAATAGTCGATACTATTTGCTCTCTTAGCAGTACAGCGGATTTACCGCTCGAATTGGAGCTCCCGTCTGGGGAAGTAACCTTCACCTAACAGAGCACCACAGTAAAATAGTACTACCTTTTGGTGGGCTGTACCGACTTAGTCGGTGTGTCAAATCTTTTAAATAATAATAATATTTTCCCATGTTATTTGACAGATTTTAAGCCTCATGTTAAAAATAATATCAAAATCACACACGACAAAATGTTTCAGGAGTATCAGGATTTATCACTGACAATGTGTTTGTGTGTTGCTTACTTTGTCGTCGACCAAGAATCCTAGCGCGTATTTGGCGTCGTAGTCCAGAAGCTTGCAGTTGGCGCGAACCGTGGATACCAGGATGACTCTTTTCTCCTTCCCCTGGAATGCCTCTACGGTACCCACGTCAATCTTATCCAGCTTCACTCCCGTGAGCCAAGCCTTGATTTTATACACCTTGAACCAACAATGCGTTTACTTTATTATATTCTTAATTTTAAGTATTTTACCCTATGATATTTAATACCCTAGATACAACAACACCAACAATGTCGTGGCAGAAACCTGTCCAAAAGGTACGTTGGATGATCCACGGACCTCCGTAAGATGATCGCGTGGTCAAAAATAATATAAGACACTATTTAAAAATTAAAAGTTACCCTTAATGCATAGTATATAAGGTCTTAATTTAAACACATGCGTACAAGAGTTATGATTATGACAGCGCAAAATACAAGCTCGAAAAATTTAGCGACTATTTGCTATAGGCAGAAGAATATAGAATTTCTTTACTCGATTCGTAATTCTGAATGATCTATGAGCAGCAGAGGCTAGAGTTTTTAGTATCGTTGATTAACTGCTAGAAGCTGGACCACTTAAGAATCGACCCCCCCTCTCCAAGGATTTAGTAAATCTAATCTAATTCAGTGTTTTGCATTATATCATAATATTTATCGTGGTTCCGAATTGCGATGGAGATGTGTGTTAAACATTTACATTTATTTCTTGTGTTTTTTTCGGAGTCCCATACAAAAATCTGCTGTGCCCACATCAACATGACTTTACATTTCGAACTCTGATGTAAAAAAAATGTATTACGACCTTCAAGTGTTATATTGCATCATAAACAAAAAAGTCTATTGTTCTTAATTTATATAGAAACAATCAAGATATTTTTTTATTTATTTCATCAATTACATGCTTAATATGTGTCCCTGTCAGAGTAGTGATTTTAGTATCTCCTTGCTTACTGAACATTTAGAGTGTATTAGGAAGTAAAATGGCACCACAGATGGTTAAGACCAATGAAGAAGCGTTCTAGAACTCACGTGATCCAGGTTGTGATCCCCGTGACTGTTAATAGGGATGATGACTTATTTTTTTTTCTTCGTGTATCAGGTAGATTAACAAAAAATATTGGACACGTATTTTTTTTTTCACATAATATAAACATTGCAGAGTTATACTGATTTGAAAAGTCGCATGACGTCACGTTTTGGTACACTTTTAAGTGAATATTCACTAAAAAGTGACGTCACGAGCCCCTACTCCCAAACTTTGACGCGCTATAACTTTGTAAATTTTTTGGTTGATTGCCGAAAGAAAAAATACGTGTCCATTATTTTTTGATCATCTAACTGACGGATTTAATAGAATTTCGTTTACTGTACCCCGTCATCACCCCTATTAACTTGGTCATTTCGCCCGCGGTCTGAAGTGAGGTCGAGGGTGTTATTTGCTGTTCCGCTGGGAGACGACGTACTTTCGTTAGTATTTTGAACTTTTAACACATTTTGAACTGAAATATAACAGGATTGTAGTCTAATCCGACGTGTCAATATGAATTTAACTGATTTGACAGATAATGACGCAGATATAAACATTTAACTGTTAATTGTCCCCTGGGTCACTGGTCCCCTTACTCACTTTTCAGGTGACCCCAGAGACGATTGCAGTGACTCAGGAGCAAGGGCGGATCCAGCTTTGGCGCCAGGGGGGGGGGGGGGTCATATAGTCGTGGTAAATTAAATATTGAAAGTACTTAAATAAAATCCCCCTGGTATTGGTCCATCAGTTCCCAGCCCAGGGGGGGATCCGCCCTTGCTCAGGAGACTTTGAACTAACAGTTTACTGTTGTGTGAGATATTTAAATTATCAAAGAATCCTTTCCTTGTTACTAAGCCCTGTTGTTGTTGTTGATGGGTGTGAAATGTGCCTGTGTAAATTGCATGTTAACCCGAGTTTGGCTTTGGCTTTTAGAGAAAAAACACGTAAACGACTTTTTTTGCTGGAAGGGTCTGGTATGCCCATTTGAAGTGTGTGATGAGGGCTAAATTTCTCCATCATGACGGAAACTTTTTTTATGTAATTTTTAAAAATATCTTGGTATGCGCGCTCAAATTGTGCCGGAAAACTTAATTAACTAAACTTGAAAATAGTTAGTTTATTGACAATTGTGAACGAAACGTCTTAATTTGAAGTAAATAATTGGTATTTATATTTTTGTTATTGTTACGTAAGTAGTTATTGTTTCATTTATTTCTAAAGATGACTTTTACAATTACTATAACTGCAATTTCGGTGCAAATTTCCCTTAATATAGTTGTTTATTAGCCTGTGTCTCCTGAGTGACGTATGTATCTCCTGACATACCAAATTGTCCCCCTAATGTTGTGCTGATTGTTTTAATTTATTAGTTTGACAAGCATTGCTATGTTGTAATTTTTATGTAGCTTGTTTTTATTTAATGGGAGAAGCCCGCGCGTGTTTGGTTTAAGAAAATTCATTTTTTTGTAAGTTTATGAAGAAGTTTAAGTGTATGTTTTAAATTAGTGACTCCAACGACATAGTTTTAAGATATTCCATGAAAGACTTGATAGTTATTTAGTATGTGAATAATGATTTAGTATTTTACTGTATACTTCTTAAAATTACAGTCATTTATTTATCATATTTTTAATGTTTTATTTACCAAACTATCAGTCACCCAGGGGACCCGTTTTGAGACCCAAATTTATTCTGAGCCTAATAACTATCTAAATACGTTTTAAAGTTTGCGGCCCTTTTAGAACATGACAGATCAATAAATAAGGTACACATCATAATTAAATAAAATAAGAAATATGGATATTTTTTATTCCTAAAAATTTTTCACTTCTTTACAAAAAAAAAGTTGATTCACTCGGGTACACAATAATAATAAGTTTAATGTATAAATTAGGGTCAGGTTTGGTAAACTGTATTCATACTAACCTGTCGAATATACGGAGCTATAACACCTATATCTTCCGGTAGCACCTTATGATTATCAGTCAAAACCTTAATGTAAACTTTTAATACGTCCAGTTCCATCTCATTAAAATAACTGTAAAGGCAAACATGTTAACATTATTTATGTTTTTTTCATATATATTTATGTTTGGAAATAGTTGGCAAACATTTTTAAACACTATGGGACGCAGGGAGGGTCCCTGCGCGTGCGCGGCTTTCCTTGCGTAATCGGGTAAAAAAGCCGACTCGTAGTAGGCCTTGTTTATATTCACTTACTAAACTAATACAAATCATTATCAGCCTATTAAAGTCCCCACTGCAGAAGCACAGGCCTTCCCTATGGATGGAATAGGGAGACTAGGCCGTGACCCACCATGCGGGCCCAGTGCGGATTGGAGGGTTCTAACGACTACAGATGCAGCCGGGACCAACGGCTTAACGTGCCTTTCGAAGCACGGAGGAGCTCGAAATAATTAGTTTTTGGTCACCCATCTAATGACAGACCATTGCGAAAGTTGCTTAACTTCAACAATCACAGCCAAACGCGCTAAAAACTTGCGCCAGCGAGCTCCTCAGGATAAAAATACACAGACAAAAAAATCTTACCTAGGAGCTTTACCCATACGTTGTTCCGCTGAATTTACACCATGAAAAATTACAGCTCTTTCGCCACCGGGCCGACCCAATATATTTATTTTGCTCAATGCATCTGGTTTAGCTAGGGCCTATAAAGAAAAAAAACTACATGTTCTTTTTTTTCTTTTTTTTATAGATAGGTCTGACAAATGACTCCACCCCACCTGATGTTAAGTGAAGGTGAAGTCCAGACGCGAAGATAGATGATACAGCAGTTCTACCTGCCACACCAGCCATCCTCACCCTGCCGGCCTGAATGTTGCTTCTGCACGCCTCTTTTAAAGGATCCCAGATTGTAAAAGGGTGGGAACACGTGAGCGGGCAGAGCATTCCATTTACGGATAGTGCAACAAAGAAATGAGTCACCAAATTTCTTTGTACGCGTTGGAATTGTGGCCGCAGTTAGACGGTGACAACGTAACCAGCGCGCGTGGTCCTCTGAAGGAAAGGGGAAGATGGACTAAGAGAGAATAACTCCTCAGAACACTCGCCGTGGTAGTGACGCCACGTCACGGCATAATTGAATGTCTTTAGTTATTTTAAGTTAAATAGGTACAATTACTATAACGAACGAACATTAATGAAACTAGGGAATTAATTTAGTTAGTTAGTTCGACCCTTCATAGAGGGCTCAGGTTTTATGGGAGTACCTCACAAGGTGCAAGGGGGGCACCCTTATGTTATTCTGCCGCGCTAGAGTAAATCCAAAACTCCTCTTTGGGTTGGGTTTTTTTCAAACAGTCATTTCGTTATAGTAATTTGTCTTCTACGTAAAACAGAGCGACCACAAATCACACAAACTTTTCCACGCCTCGGAGAAAGCACGATTCCAATTCATCCATACTAATTCACAAAACCGATAATCATGTTCCAATGTCCAAAGCGTGTTAGTTAAAAACAATCCTGTGACAGAAAGCTCACAACGAAGTAAGATGAAGGACTGTATAGTCGACTAGTTGCAACTGCAAGTCCTTCAACCCCAGTACCCCTACCCCGTAAACCGTTTTGAGGTATTTCAGTAAGTGCAAGCATAGAATTAAGCAGAATTTGTCGTATATCTCTGGTTGTATAGGTTACTAATAATATAAAATGAAGGTAATACTATTAATTGAATTCATTTAGCTACTTAATTATGTATATATAGATCTACCTACTTACTACTTTAATATACATGGTGTCATATATTTCGATTCATACTGTTGGCGGAGCTGGGTGTTTTGTGCCCATTGTCCTTTAAAGTTAATTTTTCGACAGTATGTCATAGGGTCAAATCTATCAGCAATGACCTAAATAATAATGTCCTTAAATATCTAGTTCGACTTTTCTATAACCTTGTATATAGATTAAATAGGAAAAGATGATTAGGAGTTTCCGTAAAAAGGTATCCTTTAGAAAACTAATTAATAAAACAAATTAGCACCAACACCGTTACCTGTAAATTGTCGTCATAGAAAAGCGAGTTGGGAAGCTTCAATATGTCAGGATCTGAACGGAAGTTTTTTACAAGCATCATAATGTAGCGGGGGTCGTTTTGATACAAGTTGCTATATGTCTCCAACAGGCGCTGAAGAAGCGACTTGCCTAAAAGACAAAAAAAATAATAGGTACTAAAAATAGCATACAATAATAATAATATAATATTGTACTAGCAAAACATCAATGAAATGTAAGTTTCCCAATTTAAATAAGCTCTGTAAGTTTTAAATATGGATGGATGGATGGAACGCGCACAACGAAGGTGCTGCCGACTGACGTAGAAAATCCGAATCTTGTACTCTATTAATGATTAATAGTTAACATTGACATTTATAACAAGTAAAGAGAATTAATTTTATTTGGGAAAATTATTATTCTACCTAATTATAATGCATTATTGTTTTAGATGTATCAACACATCCACAAGAAATAAAAATAAATTTCCAAAGAATAGTACTCTCATGCCGTAGTTATGTGAAAACGCAAAGAATTGATAAACGCAGTAAAGAAGCATACGTGAATATAAGTTTTGAGCATTTACAAATAATAATCAATAATATTAGTAGCGAAAATAACTAAGTTTTGTAATTAATACAGTCACTTAAACATTATCTATGAATCTGTTTTCAGTTAACAGCAGAATGATTGGCTTCCACCTAGAAATACAATAATATGCAATGTTCACTTCATTGGCAACAAAAAATCAGAAAATCGTTTAAATCCGCCATACGTTCCTTAAATTTTCCCTGGTAAAGAAAAGTTATTACAGTCTCATTTTCTTCATTTCAGTTACAAGTCTTCACCCTCCTATACATTGCCGGCTAAGAAGAGCTTTTGACCTTTTGACATATTTTGGCCACGCCGATGATTTTATTGATAAACCTGAATGCTTTTTAGTTTTAATCATATTAAATATAATATATTTTAAAAGATAATTAAGTTTACGAAAGCATGGAGGTTAGAGAGAAGGAGAACGATCGCTGCATGCTAAAGTATTAGCCCGCCTGTCCCTGAAAATCTGTAGAATTTATAGTTCATTTCTCGGCCACCAGCCGCGCTGCCGTCGGTAAGTAGTATCTGCGAAGTTAGCTGTTTATGAGTACAAGTAGGTAAAGTTAGTTGAATAATGTACAATTTTTCTTCACGACATTGGTCATTTCAAATTATTGCGCTTTTATTGAGACAACTTAGCGAACGCAGCGCCTCACTTATTTTGTCCATATTTCTGGGACACTATTTTCTACAGCGATCGTTCTCCTTCTCTCTAACCTCCATGATTGAAAGCATGATGACAGGATAAGTTTTCTTTACTGTCCGCATAATGTCTCTTTTGTCGATTTAGTGCTGCCACCTATAGTTCTTGCACGTTATCAATAGCAACACGCAATTTCATAGGAACGTGCAAATCAGTGCATGCATATGTACTCGGGTTATCATGACAACAAAATAGACTTCACAATAATAATAAAAAATCATCGAAAGAGAATCGAGGTGTTAAGAATCAATTATTATGTTGTGTACTAAAAAGCAGGGTTAAATTTAGTATCCGTTTTATTTTTTTAATAGAATATAAGTAGTTTGAATACAAGAAATCAATGCTCTCTCTATCTCTCTCCTTGTGAAATTGGAACAGATATTTTATTCATTTAGTTAGTTCCACCTCCTTTATGGAACTCTAAACACTAGTCCCTTATTAATGAGCGAGGAATACGCTTATACTAGTTACGCCGTGTTTTGTTATCACTAAAATACCACTTTTTATTCAATGAACATACATAAAACATGGAGTAACTAATCCAATATTAGTCTTAGTTTATTAATAAAGGGGTCGCGATCTTACTACAAAAAAGTTAGACACGGTTTCAAACCTTGTTAAGGCAAATTCTGTATGTAATTTTTCCTTAACCTCATGTTGAACGTGATAAGGAATCTGTTAAAGGTTTTTCATGATTTTAATAAAGCTTTGCTACACATTATAAAATAAAAGCATTTTGGTTAATAACTCGATGGTCGAGTTAACTTAAGTTGTTCGCAAACGCCTGTTAATTTTATTATGACGTTAACGGTGCAGTGGACAATAAATTTTTTCATGGGTCCGGGCAGCAGACATCACGTTTTCCACGTCCCATACGGTATTTATTTCGTACCTGTTTCTAATATCTTATAAAGTGTTTATTTTTAATGATAAGAAAGAAACCTATAAGCGTTATTCCTTATCAAACACACGTCGAACTTTTTTGTGGTAATTAGTAAGGCTTCTTATCTACTTACCCAATCCGCGATTGTGCGCTTCCCGCGATATGCACATTGGCCCTAATTGTTTCGGATCACCGGCCAGAACTAAGCGGCCGTTGGGCGCCAATAGGCCAGTTATAGGGATCAAAGCCGCCGGTTCCGAAGCTTGCGCGGCTTCGTCTATGAATAAGTGGCTCATCTGCAGCTTGTGCACCTGTTGGTTACGCCGTCTACGATGCGAATACCGAAATGAGTTCAATAGATTATTGTATAAATAAATATTTCCAACACACACCAAACAAAAATAAAAAAATATATAACACCAATTAATCTAGCCCCAATGTAAGCACTCAAAGGCCTCTGTTATGGGTTACTAGGGTAACGGTAAGAATACTTAAACTGATACTTCTTCGTCTTCCATCCCTGTTCCCGTTATCTGGGGTCGGGTCTCCTCACTCTACGGCGCCAGGTTGATCTGTCCTGGGTTGTCGGTTTTGGCAATTGGGCTTTCTTAAGGTCTCTTTCAATGTTTGACCACCAGGTCGATGGCGGGCGACCTCTACCTCTCTTTTGTTCTGGCAAGCTTAATGCGATTTTCACTACATGGTCTTCGTCCCGTCTCATGATGTGACCATACCATCTAAGGCGATTTTCCGTCATTTTGTCTGTGATTGGTGCGACTTTAAAACTCCCCCGTACGTATTCATTCCGAACTCTGTCCATCCTGGTCACCCCACCCGCCCAGTGCAGCATCTTCATTTCGTTGACATGTGCCATCTGTTCATGCGTTTTCTTGACTGTCCAACATTCGGAACCGTACAGTAAGGCTGGCCTGACGGCTATCTTGTATACTTTGTTTTTATGGGCATACGGGTATCACAGAGAACTCCCGTCAGCGACCGCCATTTCTGCCACGCTACACTTACACGGTGCGCAACATCGGCCTCCACATTGGCATCTGGCGTGAGCATAGATCCCAGATATTTAAACTTAATCACAGTGGGGATAGGTGTTGATCCAATACATATGACTTCAGGAGTTGCATTTCCGCTAAAGGGGCATTTCATGTACTCCGTCTTACTTTTGCTCACTCGAAGTCCGTACTTTTCTAAAGAGTGTGTCCACGTATTTAAAATTTCTTGCAGGTCTTTTGCAGTATTTGCCGCCAGTACTATATCGTCGGCATACAGTATGGTCCGCGGTAAAGGTGCTGGAATATGGTTTGTTAGATAGTCCATCACTAGGTTAAATAAAAAAGGGCTTAAAGCAGATCCCTGATGGACATCCACTTTGACCTCGAACGCGTTACTTAATCCTGCTGGTGTTTTGACTTGTGTACTGATGCCGCTGTACATATCTTGAATTATTAATATATATCTCTCCGGTACTTTTTGCGCTCTAAAAGCCTGCCACACGAGTGTGCGGGGCACTCTGTCGAAGGCCTTTTCGAGATCGATGAAGGCAAGATGTAAATCTGTTCTGTTTATCCTGTGTTTTTCCATCAGGATTCTGACTGCCTGGATAGCATCAGTGGTTGATCTAGACGATGTAAAGCCAAACTGATTTTGGGATACATTTGTAATAGAGGACAGGCGCTTATTTATGATCCGCTCCCAGATTTTTAGAGTGTGTGAGGTCAATTTTATGCCCCTATAGTTATCTCATTGGGCTACACCCCCCCTTGTTTTTGTAAAATGGCAGCAGATAGCTTTGGCGCCACGATTTTGGGATTTGTGTGGTGACCTAAGATGGTATTAAACAGTTTAGTTAGCCAGTTAACTGCCGTGGTACCGAGTCGTTTCCATAGATCGGCTGGTATCTCGTCTGGCCCTGCAGCTTTTCGGTTCTTCATGCTAGCTACTGCAAGTTTCACTTCATGCGAATCTATTTCCAGTAATGGTCCGCAGACATGTTCAAGGGGGGCGGGATCTTCGTGCGGGAATTCTTCATTTAGTAAGTGTTCATAGTATTCTTGCCAGCGGTGCATAATTTGGATATTATCTGTTAGTAAGACTTGCTCCTTGTTCTTAATGTATTTATTCGTTTGATGTCAATTGAAGCCTGATGTCTATGTCTAGCTATCTTAAGTACATCTTTTTCTGATTTAGCTGATTCTAACCTATCATAAAAAGCTTGATTTGCATTCGCTCTTTCCTGGGCTATGCAAGTTTTTGCTTGTCTCTTAGCTTTTTTATATTTATCCTTGTCATCATCTGTTTGTGAACTTTGCCACGCTTTGAATTGGGTTTTCTTGGTAAGCAAAGCCTGCTTTATTTTGTCATTCCACCATTTGGGATCTTTTCCGGAACGAAGAGGCCCTTTCGAAATACCTAATACTTCTGCAGCTTTCGTTCTACAATATTTTTCAAACTTGGACCACATAATTTCAGCTTGGTTGTACTCTGTATCCAAATCAGCCTCTAGGTAACTCTTAATATCACCTAGCAATATTTCGCCCTTAGGACCATCCAGCTCTTTCCACTTTGTCTTTGTGTTCTATATATATATAATACTTAAACTAATACTGATTTTTGATACATATTTAAATAATTACAGTTTATGTAGAAATACATATAATTATTTCATACACTCACACCAATTAGCCTAGCCCCAAAGTAAGCACTGAAAGGCTTGTATGATAGGATACTAGAGTAACGGAAAATATAAATAAACTGGTCCATGAATTATGTACAAATGCGCGTATTCATCATACTAACATTTGTACCATCGGGATTCAAAGACGGGACCTCTCAGCCACGGAGGTCGTCTTTCTGGGACTACTAAACATATTTAGATAAAAAACACCAATAGAAAGATATGGTTTACCCGCGAACATAGGCATATTTTATCGCTTTAAAGAATAATATCATATTTAGTTCCGTTAAGGATAAAAAGATAAACAAAATAATGCCAGTTTTGATTATCAAAGCACTGTAGAACTACAAAGGAACTAGATAAATCAGTTTGATAACTTACGAAGAATATTTGGCTGCATGAGATAGGGTGGTGACCACAATCCGGTAAGAGGCCATCATTTCATTATTAACTGAATAGAAATTCTCGTAGTTAGTGCCATTTGACACTGGATGCAGTTCTGTTGGCATCACCGACCTGTAAAACGTTGCAATATCAAGACACTCGCATAATGGCGCTGATAATAAATTGACTAGTTTGTAATTATATTATTATTATTAAAATCTATATTCATTGTATAACATATTAATTACATTTTTAAATATTAATATAAAAACAAAAACATTCAAAAATATAGAAAAATGGAAGCCAACCGGCATCGGGAACAGGGTCCTAGCTACCGGTGGTTAGGGCCTCAGAGACAGGAACCTCATCACTATGCGAGCCGTGTCAAGAACTGCCTTCTGCATCAGGCCCTTGCCCCAGTCACCCAACTCGAGCCTCCGCAGATGACAGTCGAGGCTCTTGGCTATCAGGCCATTGACCGTCACAACTATCGGCACAATGATAGCCGAGTCAAGATCCCACATGGCGTAATCTCAAGAGCCAAGTCAAGATATTTTATTTGTTTATCTTTCTCGGCTTTCATGAGGTTTTCATCATGAGGTCACATCAACTATAATTCCGAGGCGCTTTTCCCGATCTATCATCACTATATCAGGCTTATTGGCAACAATAGTCCTGTCAGTGATTATAGATCGGTCCCAGTACAGCATTAATATTATTATTAATACAACCAGCAGACCCATAAAGCGCCCAGGCTCCACTAGAGACCGCATATCACTAACGATGAAATCGAACAAAATCGTGGCCGGAACCTGTCCTAAGAGTACGTTGGATGTTCCACGAAGTTCCGTAGGTTGATCGCGTAACCTGAACAATATAGCACAATACTTAATTAAACATTGAAAGTCACTATTAATACCCCACTTTATAATAATAATAATAATACATCGATATCACCATCCCGCATGATGAGAACCTCGTGAAGGCTGAGAAGGACAAGCTCAGCAAGTACCTGGACTTGGCCCACGAGGTAACCGCTTTGTGGGATGTGGATTCGACGATCATTGTCCCTATAGTCGTTAGTGTGAACGGTCTCATAGCGAAGAATCTCGACCAACATCTAAAGAGCCTCTCGCTAGATGGTTGGGTCAAGGGGCAGATGCAAAAGGCAGTACTCCTGGACACGGCGTGCATCGTCAGGCGGTTTCTTTCTCTGCGGCCCTAACCACCGATAGCTTGGACCTAGCTCCGCTGCTGATGGCCTTTTAGGTTAAGTTTTTTTATACTATATTTATTTTTGTATTTACGTTATTGTATTTTACTTTTATATCTATTTTATAAAAAACCTAAATGTGATAGTGTGAAATATATGAGAGTATAATAATACACTTCATTGTAGTATACTACACAGGATACAAAAAAAAACAAAACATGACAGACAGAACGTACACAATATAGGCGGCCTTATTGCTAGCCAGCAACCTCTTCCAGGTAACGCATACTAACCAACTACCAACTAATACTATACCTACTAATGGCGTATAGGCGCTTTTGCCTTTCGACTTTCGATATATTATATACAAATTAATTCACGAATAAACGATAGCCTGTGTACGTGGCTTGCGGTTAGACGGTAGGCCTTACTAGCTAAAAATATAAGTAAGATAAGGTATCAGTCACTTTCTTGAAGCGTTCCTTACCATTCCCTGTTTTGAGAATTTGCCCTAAATAGGAAGTTGCTGATCTTTAGCTGTTTGTTAAACTTATGTAACATAAGGGCTATGTGGTCGGCAGCCATGTTGGAATCAGTGCAAACCAAAATACGATGTCTTGCTTTCTTGACTACTAACTGTAAAAAAGATATTTACTGGATAGTTAAAATCAGAATAGAATAAACACAAAAACATTATGAAGTCAATTTATACTGTAGATAATTAATGTATTGAATATTTTCTTCAGTAATACTTTGTGGTATAGATCGCGTCTGAAACCTAAACAGAGTGTATTTTTTTTCTAGTTAAATTTTCTTTAGTAATAATTGTGTTATTTGGTAAAGTATTTTATCTAAAGGAAACTGATTTGTTTCCTAGATTTTCACGCACATCACTCATTAAATAAAACAAGTTTCAACGGGTTAGATGCACTGATTTTATTTATTTATTGACGTTTCGCAACCATTGCAGGAATACGTCGTCAGAATAATATTATTCTGACGACGCATGCCTGCAAAGGCTATTTAAAGAGAACTGAATTTAGTCAAGCTATTGGCTTTATATTTCTTCTAGGGTAACAATGGTGTCGGTTCTAAGTAATTACTTAATTAATTAAGGCCGGCAAGGTGAGGATGGTTGGTGTAGCAGTTTATAACTGCTGTACCAGCTATCTTCGCTTTTGGATTTTATCACCGCTTAACATCAAGTGGGGTAGAGTCATTTGCCTACCTGACTATAAAAAACTTCCGCAACGGTAGTTTCATAGATCAACTTAGTTTAAATTGTTTTTTAAACAAAACAACGAGAATACGATGAGACTACTTCTACACACTTACTTGTACAATAGCTTCTACAATGGTCATAGTTTTTCCAGTACCCGGTGGTCCGAAGACTATATATGGCGCAAAGCCAGAAGTACCGGATACAATATGCTCTACTGCAGCTCTCTGTTCTTCGTTTCTTTCGATTAATCTATTATAATAACTGAAAAAGAAAATACAGTAACAATAACAGTTAAATCTGCTAGATTTTAATATCCAATCCAATGAAAAAAGTACTATTCAAAATTAAGCTTCCCATAGTTACAACAGACCGTAACAATTTCTATTCGGGAGGAAATTTATTCTGTTATAATATTATCGACTGGGTTCCATCAGGAACAAATTTTACGTAGTTGAGTCAAATTGATTTTATTTCTATTTATGGTATGTGTTTATATATATTTTTTCAAACAAAGATACACAAATTAATAGGTATAAATATAACAAACATAATTGATGCTTAATTCTTTTTTTCTTTATCTTTTTGATGATTATTTCTTTTTCGCACATTGAAAAATCTACCTTTCTACTTTAAAGCTGAGCCTTTAATACGAATTAGGGTACTTTTTTATTGTGAGTCCGGCCAGTATGTAATATGCATTGCAGGTAACCCACAATGTCAAATGAATACTTGGCCGAGGTAACATAATTGGTCAGTGCATTCGCCCGGATAGCGAAGGATTCGGGTTCGAGTCCCGTCTGCTGCCTGGTTCGCGGGGAATTTTTTCTAGTAATATTTTCTTTAGATGTAATATGAAGATAGAATCTTTACCTAGTGATGGGATGAGCGGCAAACTTCTGCTTGTTTGGCTCGGGGAAAACACGGCACTCTTGTTTGGCTGAGAACAATCTGGAGACTGCTTCATGCATACGCTCCATAGGCACCCGTGACATTATGAAGCGTACGTCAAACACAGCCGTTTCGGTGTAGTAATTAAGGAAACTAAAGAAATAAAAAATGTAGCTTAACATAAAGTCAACAATCGGAACAAAATATAGTAATTAGTGGGATTGCCACTATGCACCTTGCTTTTGGCGAGTTCCCGATATTTAGGCTCTGTCGCAGATACCACGATCACGGTGTAACTGTATATGGTAGAAATCCCGCTAATTACTGACTATCTGTTACCGGATAATCTGCATAATCCAACATTTTATACAATACCTAGGCAATTCATAAATTCCTAAAACCTCAAGGCGATGCATGAAATGAGGAGCTGGCGAACAAAACGGTTTAATTACGCATCTGGTCAAACTACTTTTTTATAGTCAGGAGGTGCCGAGCCCGTTGAATTTGAATCTCAAATTTTTCAAATTAAACCGCCTAAAAAGTGTTAAAATTACTAAATTTATAAATTAAAAACCATGCCAAAAGCTCACTGGAGGTACGTCATTCAGTTTTATACAGCTCCTGTAAAAATAATTTTATGTAATTATACCGTTTTGTTCGCCAACTCCTCAAATATTATTCATTTTACTAGCAAACCAGTGAACCAAATGTTCACCAAAACCTGATTTAAAAAAAAATGTATTTAATTTGAGAACTTCGGGGATTTTGTGTGGTTTCGTTTGAAATTCGTGATTTCTCGAAAACCGGAAGTGCTACGTTACTCAAATCCGGTTTGTAGTCTTATCAGACTATTCTTAACTTATAACTTAAATATTCTCTTTATCTATCTCTTACGGTTTGGCCGCTGAAACAGCACCACAGACGGACGGACGGACTTGTCTAATAGATAAGAGATAATTGCCTAGGTATTCTGTACAAAACAGAATGCGCAGTCAGCAATGTGTGTTAAAGAAGCTAGCGATTCGACATTTCCTTGTTTTTTATCCATTCTATATATCAGGTGGCTGGTGCTTTGGTCACAACACTAACTTAACCTAACCCACTGTAAATTTTTCAAACGTTCATTGGTCTGAAGTTTACTCAGTGAAATAATTAAATCCGTCCGTCATTTTATATCCAACTAGGTGGGTAGGTTTGGTTAGGATAACTGCCGGCCAAATTTGTTTATTTTACACATTGTTGGTGGACCAGCAGGTACTCGAATTGTATATCGTCGACCGTAATTTCAATTGGCGTAAGGGACAAACCATTACTTTTCAGGAGAAGCCAAAAACGTTTTAATTTTATTTTAAACACCTGTAACTTTTTATATTGTACGTCTATTTTAATCATGTCAAAGGAAAGCATACATAAAATTTTGAGTTCTTTAACCTGTAGCTATTGAAAATACTCTAAATTGTTTATCTTCTTAAACAAAGTCCCTTACGACCTCCTCATTTAAACCACTTCTGTCCCATACAGCTCGTGAAAATGTACACAATACATACCCATTGGGAAGTAAAGGTTAGTTTTTCTAATTTACATAAACAATTTTGGTCGTAACGGTAGTTAAAAATAAATGAAAGACGTAACCAAACGAAATTCTTATTAAAATAATTAAATTACTACGGATATTTTCGTTTGTGAGGTCATTTGTAATGTTTTATAAAAAAGAAGACAGAGTTATGTCATATTCTTTTTATTTCACAATAATAAAACGCTCGAATTCTCTAACTGAAGAGTCGAGTATGGCAATCATTCATTACGGAACTGAAATCAAACTTAATTAATCGCAGATTTCGCAGAAAGGAACTATTTCCGTTTCATAACTATTTTGAATAGCTGGCTAAGAAACATGTAAATGATAAAAATTAAAATAACTAACATCTTTAGTCCACGCTCATTGATTGAAACGCTTTAAATGACGTATAAAATTTACAAAATGCAATAACAATAAATCTCTGGATAACTTCTCCAATAAAATAACAAACATCACTTAGATCCACTTTTACCAAAGTTCTTAATTCAAATTTAAAGCTTATCATGTTGAAACCTCATACAAAGATGAAATGATGTGTTAAACACGATTAAGCCTAATTTTGAATTAAGAGCTTTGGTGCAAGTGGGCTTTAATCTAACAACAAAATTTAGGAACCAAAGCCCACTTGCACCAAAGTTCTTAATTCAAAATAGTCTCATTCTATCTCTTTTTGTCTTTTAACAATTGACAAAGAGGAAATTAATTATCTGTTAGGCTTAATTTGAATTAAGTACTTTGGTGCAAGTGGGCCTAAATCCTGAACAAAAACGTCATCATACATAATAGGATGACTATAACAATAAGACACAAAATAAAAAATAAACAATTTCAAAGTCAGCATAACAATTTTTGGTGACCTCTCTAAAGTTATGTAATCTCAAAATCATTGAAATTACTATTTAAGCAAGAAAAAAAATTGCTAAAATCTTAAATAATCAAAAACTCTGTATGTATTTTCCAAAATACAATTTGACTGAAAGAATAATGAAAACTGAAAACAATTGTTTACGAAATAAAAATTTAAGCACTTAAATCTACGTCATCATCTTCTTCGTCGGTCTCTGGAAGTGTGTCCACAACTTTGGACATAAACGGTAACTCACTGTATTTTTTGTGAAACCGTTTTGGGATTGTACCATTTTCACACATTTCACATTTTTCCATTTTTTTTGACACAAAAACAGAGTATGACATTTACTACGTACATAATATCAGAAAAAAGGATGCTTGAAAACAGGGTGTGACATTTACGACCTATTTCTTAGTAATGATAATATTGTATTGTGATCGTAAAGGATGTGAAAATATAGTATATCAATTATGCCCTACTACTTTTTTACATAGTGTTACATACGACGTTAAGTCTGGATAACCGAGACCCTTAAAGTCTTTTTTTACACAAAAACGTGTTTAGAGTAAAAAAAAAATGGGTCTTAACGAACCAATTTTGCAAGATATCAACATTTCAAATATACCATTCGATAGAGAATTTCAAACTGAGTGTAGAACGCTAAAAAAGTGATTTTCTCATTTTTGTCCCTTACGCCAATTGAAATTACGGTCGACGATATGTTACCTGCCAAACCTGATTTTAGAATAAACTAGTTTTTCCTAGGCAAAACCAATTCATCCTTTTGGCGATAGAATAAACCGATACAGACTAGGCTAAACTGGGGGTGTACTCTCTTTCTCCGAAACGAACTTCCGACAACGAAAGGACAATGGGAAAAAAACCCCCCAACAGATTTGGAACAAGTGTCATTCGAAGCGTCTCGTATTCGAAGCAGGATAGATAATTTCTTACTATGGCGACATACTTCAAATATATGGGGTTTAGGTTTAATAAATGCTAAAAGTGCCCTGCAGTTTCATCCGCTTTAATTTGAGGAAATAGGTTATAGTGGGTAACATTTAAAAGATAGACAAATGCTGTCGTGGACTTTTTTATAGAACTATATTTAATAGATTTAAAGGAGAACGATTCCGTTATACATGTTTTTTGTGGAACTTTTACCGTTTAGGCAGCGCACGAACGACGACGTTCACGACTTTGACAAGCCACCCCAAGCAGGAAATGGCAACTCAGAACTCGATTAATAAAAGAATATGCAGTATTTTTTCTTTATAGTCGTATTGTTTTTATGAAGTTGGTTTTTTATTTTTGTTAAAAAACGTATTTATTTTACTCTTCTTATAAGCCAGAGCAAGATCCACTTACTAAGTACTTGGTACCTGGCGTGCATTATCTCTTTCATATCTGTCAAAACAACCAAATACGAACTGAGTACCGTTTATAATTCAGGAGTCTATTATTTTCTCTGAGAGTACTGATCAGATCCTTACCATAAAATTTGGGCCAAAAAACTGATTCGAACAAAAAATGAATCATGAAAATCGGTCCACGCATCTCGGAGATATACGCGAACAGTAAGAAAACATGTAATGACGAATTTTTTTAAGAAAAATATAATTATTACGTATTTTGAAGTTTTTTATTAATTATTATAATCAAACCCCATTGATTTCCCAAATAAAAAGTGTTTTGTCTATTTTTGAATACAATTGAACAAATTCACACGCTTTCCGTATATGTTGCAGGGCCCCCCTGTGGGGTCCACACAAAATCCACCATGGTCGTTTAATTTCGTCAATTTAAGGTTATACTTAATTTAAAAGAAACTATCAAATTGAAGCTTTCTTTGAGTAGGGTTAGAACATCTACATCTCAATCTATATTCCGACGACGAATATTATTATAATTAAAAACGAACCAGATACATAGTAAGAAAAGTACGAAGTTTCGATCGTAATTTCGTTTTTCGTTGAATTAGAGTAGGGCTCCTGGTTCGTCCTATGACCGATAGGAGAAATTAGTTTAACCGAGGTTGAAATATTGACCCTTATATGAACAAGTACACTTCGGAATAAGTGACGTCACAGTCCATAGTATCCTATGAACAAAACAAACAAGGTCACAGTTTGATTACGACTCATTAGGAGTACAGGCGCGCGCGCACTACGAACTCGCACAAGATGTCGTTGACTTTGACATTATCCTGTGAACGTGCCGCTTGTTTGTTGTTTCTTTTTTCTTTTATTTTGGCAACTTTATTTTGATTTGTTATGAATTTCTACGTCACAACCGCTATGTCGCATTTCAGATATTTCAATTTACCAGAAGTTATTCGCACTTTCAAACTTCACTTACGTACTTTCGCACTTCTTCTTGCTCCAAAATAAATTGTATTTAAAAATATTGGTTGGAAGACAATTCAAAAGTAATATAGTTTATATAAAAAAATGAGCCTTATTTGAATTATAGGCATATTCTCTATTCAAGGAACAAAGAAAAAACATGGAGTAACTCATCCAAGCTTATTCTTTGTATATTAATAATGGGGCTATGTTAGTGACCATGAAAGTTTAAAACAATAAATCAGACGTCTCTGAGGCAGTATTACGAACTCTAACGCTGTGCAGAAACAGCCGGGTGAAATGGGAGGATGTGCTGATTTGTCTCTCTCTAACAATAGAACTTGCTCGGCAATAAGAGGTCACAATATGGCGTCTGTGCTAAATATAAAAACAGCTCTTGGTCTTCTAGCATGAGCACCGCGATACATAACGCGTTTTTATCACGCTCAATTGTCAAATTATAATGGAATTTGACAGTTGGACGAGATATAAAACTTGATATAATGTAAATTGTGGTGCTCATGCTACGGGGTTAGGTTTGTAAATCAAAAGCTTAGACATAGGTACTATTTGATAGACAAAGAGAGACATGGGTGTCGATTCTGGCTTGATTCTCTAAACTTCAAACTTAATTTAAGATCAGTCTCTCTTTTTCAATCTTTATAGAGAATGGCAATGATACACTGTTGTCAAATTTAATTTTAGGTTTAGCGATTAATGCCAGAATCTACACCATACTACTGTAAAAATATTTTTTTAGAATAAGAGCCCACCCAAAATATATAATTAAATTGCTACAATACATGTGGTATGATAAATTTCATCATAAATCCTACTTTCTATTAATATTATAAACGTGGATGTTTGTTACTCAATCACGCAAAGGCGGCTTAACGGATTTGGATGCAATTTAACACACGTATAGTTTATTACCTGAATTGAGACATAGATTTCTGATTCCAAAAGGGGTTCTCAAAAAACTAAAGTTAAGTGGACGACTTCGCAGGCGGCATTATACTTCGCACTTATAATTTAGCTCTTTTCACTTATTTAATGGTACAATCTTTTTTTACCGAAATCACAACATGTATACTTGCCTTTCATCAAAATCACCAAGACGAGCTTTGTCATCTTCCAAATCCTTGACTATGCTTTCAAAAAGTATAGTCTCGTCATCTTTTGGCCTGAGATACACTCTATCACCTATAGAAGAAGAAGAAAAATAAGTATTAATATGAGCGACTATAGCTTGTCACATATAGTGTTTAAAGTTAAAATGAAAAAACCTGGCCAATGTGATAACCGAATGATGTAAATGTTTTTCTGGGCTGCGTTCCATACCATACGTTCCGAGTGCAACTTTTTACCCTGTTGCTTCAAATTTAACTTAAAATGTATGAAACCTAAACAAACATTTGACATTTATTATGGAGCGTAGGTTTGGAACGCAACCCTCAATTCAATACCCGTATACACGAGAAAGCTGGCTACCGGCACTGATCTGCCGTCGCCAGCAAGTTCCATGATGAGCTCGTCATTTTACACGTGTCAGAGTCAGAGAATGCCAGACGACAGTTTCTGCAATACCGATTAGCGCTGGTAGATCGGTGCCGGTAGCCAGGTTTCTTTGTACATGTCCTATTATTTTAAGCAAAAAAAAAAGACACTGTCAAAAAAATAAACACCTAAACAAATTGTACGAACCATAAATTATACTTGTCTTAAAATAATATTTTTTTCTGCAGGCGCAGGTCAATTGTAAACTTAATTCTTTTTTTGATTGAAATTAATTTTTTTAAGTATAATTATTAATCAAATGCAGCCGAATCAAATCGTATTAAAAACATGTGATAGTGATGTGAAAATAAATTGCATAGTCAAGATAACGTCCCCTAGATTATTTTACATCGGTAGCGGCTTTATTACACAGAAATAAGATGAACTTCAAGATGACGGTACTCCGACGGGTTTTTCGAATATAATGTGATTAGGATTTAATGCAGAATTTCTGCTTTTTTATTCATAGAATAATTCTTCACTTTAACCCTCTTATTAATAAAGAAAGACTGAGCTTGGATTAGTTACTGTATGTTTTGTTTCTGTTAACTGAATGACAAATAGCGTGATATACACAAAACACAGTAACTAACAGGCTTATTTCTCGTTTATAAGTAAGGGGGATAAAATTATATAATATTCAACTAAGAATTCAAAGTTTCTCATTAATTAAATAGTGGACCCGTTATTTTAAACATAATGGCGTGATCTTAAACTACGCACACTTAATTTCGTTGGTTTTTTTTGACTGCATGCGTTGGTCGCAGATGATCTTTACACCGTGTCACCGGGTTTGGGGACGGCGAGATCCTAAGGGGACCTCAAGCTATTGGTTACTTACCACGCATTAACGAAGGCCGCTTCTCAGATAATCCAGGCACTTCCAACAAATATCCCAATTTAGAGTCTTTCATCAAAGACACACCGGTCATGTTATATTTCTGAGAAAGAAAAATATAATTATTGACTAAATCCGTAAGGGCAGGCCTTTTCAAAAGCGCAGCGAGGTTTGCTACGCTCGCTCATTGTCTAAACTATACAACGACATGATTTTTATGAGAGTTAGAAAAACAAATTGTAGTCCACCAACAAACAACATAGGCTTGATTATAATGTGCAACAAATGCACACATTATTTTTGCAAATAAATATACTTACTCTTAAATTAATTTTGGCTATTATTTCCTCCCACCACAAAAGAGTATGAAAATAAATCATATAGTTATCTTTAGTTATGCCTTCATCCATAATAGCTCTACAACAAAGAGAATAGGTAAACACATAATTGATAAGTGAAAAAGTTAATAATAAAGTGGATTAAAAAAACCGGCCAAGTGCGTGTCGTGCCACGCGCCGGGTAGGGTTCGTGCTTGTCGTCACCACAAAATATTTTGGAAAGAGTCTATATTTTAAGCAATTACTTCGCCTAAGTCACCTTTAATGTTTTCTTCTAAGTAATGTTTATAAGGCCAGAAATTTTGTATTTCATAAATTGAACCACTATTAGTTTTAAACTACCTAATCTATTTCAACCATTATATTTTTCTTTAAAAATTCATGATAAGGACTATCATCATATCATGATTTTTTCCAGGTTTTTCAAGCTAATAGTTTAGCTTTTAGAGGGGGGGGGGGAGCCCTGCACGAACAAAAATTAGCACGATGGGGTAGACGATGAAAAAATAAAATATTCTCCAGGTTACATACCTAATAAAATATATTTTTCTTAATTTTATTCTACCAGTTTGGCGGCATGATTGATATATATATCTCCACAAAATTACAGCTCTCTAGTGCTAACAGTCTCCGAGCAAAACCGGGGACGGACAGACAGACGGACATGACGAAACTATAAGAGTTCCTTGTCAGGAATATGGAACCCTAAAAACGATAAGAAGTTTGCTATCTCTCTCGCACTTTCAAAATCTTCAAATTCGCACTTACCTTGTGTCTATTAGGATAAGCCTTAGTTTATCAAATTCATTGCGTGGAAGCCCAAGACCTTCCAGTGCTGACTCATCCAGTCCACGTGGTAAGATGACTTTCAAAGTTTTCGGTATTTTGAAAGTACTCTGTATCGGTCTGTGTGAGCAAATACAGCAAGTTTATTTATCAGCATTAGTGACGTACCGCATTCGTTTGGCTACACTCAAGAGATTCCAATTGTTTAAATACTGAAAGTATTTAATGGATGCTGTAACTTACTTTTTAGTTGTAATAAAACAACGACTGTCGCTTTGATAAGCATTAAATTTAATTAACATCTGTGTGTGACTGTCATTCATAAAGATAAGTATAAACAGTATGATTCGATACGTGTGATTACACGTATCGAATCAACGGGCGAGACAGTAAAATGTTTCTCGGCCGAGACAGTGATGGAAATTAAAAACTCAACTTGCTGCACTGACTCGAGCCTCTCTGAGCCAAAAAATTATAGGCGAAAATAAAGACAAACCAAGACATCATCAATAAAAAAAAATAGATACACGAAATACTAAAGACAATTTTACTAAAAAAAAATTCACGCGGACCAGGCAGCAATCGGGACTCGAACTCAATCTGCTATTCGACCGAATGCACCGACCATTATGCTACCCTAATGGCCGTGTCGAATTTTCTCTAGATTTTCTTATGCCGCAAAGCAGCATTTTTTCTAGTAATATTTTCTTTAGATTTCAACATTTAGCAGTTTAATTGTTAATGTATGAAGCATAGAGCAACACAGCTGACGCGGCTAGGAGTGGAGTAGCCATAATGACATAATACTACTGAAATCATTCTACCACTTTTTGCAGGGGGAGGATTATGCATACAAATGTACTCCAACATACTTTCGCAAAAAAGAAAATTGGAATAACGAAACCCATACATAAAAAAATACAGTGCTAAATCGGGCATAGATGAAACTTAAGATTTTTCATTGACAGAACTGAAATTTGTACTGGCAAGTCGATTGTTTTGTCAAACAAGTCCGACGATTGAATTTTAACAAAAATATTTGAATTTGTGTTTAAAAGTGGTTAGTTATAATTATTATGTTAATAATTCTATTTATATGTGAAAATTTAACACCATCCTTTTGTAACTTTGTAAGTTTAATATTCCAGATACGTTTTACAGCAAATTACATAACATTTTGTCTTTTTGATCTGTAACATACACTCGCGCGACTTGACTCAGTCTAGAGAAATACCTATCCGACGTGCAACTACGAGTAGTTTTGTTTTTGAGCTGTCCCAACAGCGGGGGAAAACCGACAGATGGTATGAAGTGACAGTCCATATATATATATATTTAGAAAAAAAATATATAATTAAGGTCATTGCGTTGCGTGTATAAACTAGACTTAGCTAACTGTGGCATAGAGATTGTCTGTACCTGCATACGCTCAATCATCTCATCAATGCAATGTCATTATTCCTTTCGATGGTTAAAAATTTGTTGGATAAAATTTTTGATTCAAGGGCAAGAACCAACTAAACAAATGCAATTATAAATAAAACGAAATAAAATTAGAAATAATCTTACACATTGTTTATCGAATGAATGAAATTTTCTGCTTTCGTCCAAAAGTTATCTCTATAAGGAGATAGTATTTTCTCATAAGATGCTGGCGGTTGGTCTTGTACGATCACCATCTAATGAACAAACATTTTTTTCCTTCTTAAGTATATTAATTTTAAAAATGTTCCAAATAAGTATAAACTTTTTAATTTCACTTGGGCAATTTTCAGTCTGGATCGAACCAGCATCTTCCGCTATTCAGGCGGAATTTAGTGAATTTTTCTTTACATTTAAACAGCAGTTAAATGCTTAAAAATATAAATATAGTAATATAAACTTTCAGTTTATTTTCGTTTGACTATCGCAATCAGACTGAATCTTGGCAAATTGATTGTTTATTAAATTTTTATTTTAAGCATTTAGCTCAACCGCACATTGGACCCACTCGTCGTGGCCATAAGCTGCAGACGAGTTTTTTCATAACTACATTCTGTAATTGGCGTAAACCGAGCCTTCGAGTAGCCGCGTTGCGGCGGGAGTCGCCCGAGCTCGCTACTTGTGGCCTCGGTTCATCGCTCGAACCCCGCCCACACTCGGCCACAGTACCACAATGGATTGTATGTCGGTTTAGTGGCCTAAAATAGTGGCTCCAATGTGCGGTTGCTCTTAACTACTACATTTATAAATCTAAAGTAGAGTCTTGTTCTCCCAAATGCAAGAACAAGACTAGACTTAGCCAGTCTTGGTCTTGGTCTTGCGCCAATACACCTGGTCTTGGTCTTGGTCTTGCGCTCCCAGTCTTGGTCTTGGTCTTGCAGCAAGAGTCTTGCAAGTCTTGCATTTACCTATTAGACTATTGCTATTTATTTAAGTTTACTTTAGATCTTAGAAAAACGTATTAGAATTGGAACATTGTGAGCTTGAATTAACATAGCCATAGTAAAGGCCAATCAGATTAATAAATGTCTGAAGATTTGATAAGAAATTCGAAAAATCAACTGCAACATGGTTATCAACTGAGCTATATGCCGTTTTCCATGGGAGTAACTGTTTCTTAATAAACAATTGAGCTTTATAAGCTTACATGTGCTAAAATATGTAATAAACAAATTAATTATAATAACTTGACTGTATTTTAAAGAACAATATCTGTCTAGAAAGAGATTGAACCCTCAACTTATATGAAATTTAATAAAAGAGTTTTACGATTTATCATTTATTTGCTATGTATGTTAATGGTATTGGTCGTAATGCGCATAGGTCCAGTTTTTCATATTCTTTGATACAGTTTTTTGCGTCTCATAGAATTCCTAAGTGTACCTATACCCCGAACTGTTATACCTAACTACTCCGTGAAATAGCGCTAAGTCCTAGCTGCAAGACGCAAGAGTCTTGCCGGATTAGTCTTGGTCTTCCTCAAGTCTTGCACTGTCAGTCTTGGTCTAGGTCTTGCTAAAAATACGCGGGCTTGTTCTTAGTCTTGGTCTTGCAAAAATGCAAGAACAAGACCAAGATTGCAAGACCCAGACTGAATTTGGGCAACACTAATTCCCTATTGTTATAATCGAACAACAAACAAAGGGAAATGCCATTTCTGTTGGGAGGACCTTTTTTCTAACTATATTTTGGGTCATGGCAGGCAACGGCGCGAGTAATATTTATGGTATCGCAAGCTAATTAATATATTATTTTTAAAATCCTGATCTCAGTTGAATCATAGAAAATGTTATAAAAATGTATGAAGTACAATATTACTAATTACTAAAAATTAAATAGTAATTTACTGATTAAAAAAAATACTTACCAGTTCCCTCACAAAAATAAGGTTTTTCTCATCTCTCAACCGAAGAAAAGTAAACATAATTGGCATTTCATAAGTTCCAAAATCATCCACTTTAAATCTTATTGATATTTCATCCTTGACAGAAGATTCTGTGACAAAATTGTGATAAATATAAAGAAATATATCTTAGATATAGAAATGTCTCAGTATCTATATCTTCATTCAATGTTTGTCGTGGCCTGTTATCGACTAGGGAATGCAAATCTCGCGAGATTGGGGCTTAAGCGAGATCCCGCGAGTTTATTATATATATGGCATTATGTATATTATGAATATGGCATACTGTGAGCACGTGTGAGATCTCGCCAATTTCAAGAACGAGATTGCATTCTCTATCGTCGACATTAATGCATGTGTGCGCATATTATTTATTTTACCATTGGCATTAATAGGGAACCTCAACCTATTTACGGCATATTCAGATACGTGAATATTACAACTACTTAATGCTTCACTTATATGGTTTTACGTGCACGTATTAAAAACTTAAGTATCTGAAGGGGTATGCAATCTCAATGAGGTCTACCGTTTGCTGTCTCACCAGATGGCGATATCTAGTACTGGCTGCTTCGACAGACTTAGCGACAATTTGCGATGTAATAGCGTAATACATATCAAACTAATCGCACCTTTATTCAAAAAAAGAAATAACTCAAAATTTCCATTTTTCGGGTTTTCGGCATAAAGTGAACTAACTAATTAGAGTCAATGCGCAGTTCAACAGCCGTTTTGATACGATGAAAATGAAAGAGATAGAAGACCATCGTTCTCTTTTCTACAAACGGGTTAGCACAAGTCGATACTAAATAAGTGATCGAATTCAGTGTTACGCCGGCTTCGTTGACAGTAAGGTCTCTAAAGATATTTGGAAAAACGTAATAACTCTAAATATAGCGGTGTTATACTATCAGGTAAGTATTTCTTGTGGTTAAAAATTAAAAAAAAAAGTGTATATCTTGAGACTTAAATCTGCTTAATTGAAAAAACGCTCATATTTTTAGAGGTTCATTGGGATTTGTTACAGTTCTCTATAAAATATTCAGGTGCGATTTCTGTAGCATTTCGAGTTAATGCACTTTTTTATTAAATTATTTAAAAAAGCTTTAGATAAATAAGTATTGTTTCAGTATTATAGTATTGAATTTTTAGAAACTTAGTACGTTTAGTTTTGTTTCAGTTTATTATTTATTACTTAAATACAATGCAAGTGTCTTCGAGAGTTATTTTCCTTTTTAATGAAAGAAGTTAAAAATATATGCGTAATTATTAAACGAAAATTAAATTAATAATTGTTAATTATACCCTATTAAGAATTTAAAGTAGCTACTATACATTATTCTGTTTCAGCTTTTAAGATGGCTTCGAGGGTTTATTTGTTAAAAGTACAGTTGTGGAAGATAAAGATAGTTCTTTCAGTTATAATTCGAATAAAAATAACAATTAAGATTCTAATCTCGAGGTGACTTTATTTAATACTCTTACGTATGTAACTATTAATTAAGTGGGTACATTTAATTTTAAAATTATCAATTTCCACTTATCCCTGAACAAGATTAACTTTGATAAAGCATAATTGGTTTTAACAGTAAGTACAATCCGACTAAATGTATCTTTAAACTCGTGTCGTCAAATACAGTACGTAAATATCAAAGTAAGTAATGAGAACAAAACAGCAAATTGATTCTAGTATTATTTATTATATAATATTTTTGATCACAGTATTCACAGCGTGAAATAAAACAACCCAACATAAGTCTAGTATCTTACTATGACAGTGATATTACCATATAAGATAATGAAGATCAGACACAATGCTTCACTACAGAAGCAGAAAGTTATAATAAAGAATTTCGTGTACGTCATCTGTCGTCTGCAAGTAGCTCGTCATCTATATATTCGAGGTCACTCTCTTCATGTTCAAACACATCTTCTCCCGATACTTTGGCAAGTTTTGATGTAAATAATTTAAATAAAGCAAACTATTTACAATATAATAACTCTGAACACAATGACAGTCATGACTATAAATGAAACCGAAGAAGCGTGTTAACCTGAAATTGAACACACTCCCCCGCGGCATCATCATCATCAACAACCTATCCTAGTCCACTGCTGGACATAGGCCCCTTCAATTGCACGCCACTCAGATCGATCTTGGGCTACTCGCATCCAGCTCCTGCCAGCCACCTTTCGCAAATCGTCACTCCATCGTGCCTGAGGACGTCCTACACTACGTTTGCCTAGACGCGGTCTCCACTGCAGAACTCGTCTACCGTTGGGGTAGACGAGTTATCGGTTATCGGTTCTTCGGCAAATATGGCCAGCCCACTGCCACTTCAACTTGCTAATCCGGTGGGCTATGTCGATGACTCTGGTTTTCTGTCGGATTACCTCATTTCTGATGTGATCCTTCAGAGAAACGCCGAGCATAGCCCTTTCCATAGCGCGCTGAACGACTTTGAACTTGTTCACGTCTCGGCTCCGTATGTCATCACAGGTAGGACGTCTTTCGTCTTTAGGCACTGTGGGTACGACGATGTCAGGACTTGACGTAGCTTCCCAAATGCTGCCCAACCTAGCTGAAATCTTCTATTCACCTCGTCCTCTAAAGTTGTTTCTACTTAACTGCAATGTCTACCCGAGGTATACATATTATTGAACAATTTCGAGAGTGGCAACGTGTATTGCAATCGGTTCCGGTAGAACATATTCATTATACATGACCTCGGTTTTATCCAAGTTCATCCGTAGGCCGATGCGTATAGAAGAGTCAGCCAGGTCATTCAGCATTTGTTGTAGGTCCTGCAGGGTTTCTGCCATGATGACGATGTCATCAGCAAATCGCAAGTGCAAGCAAGCAATGCGTTCGCCATTTCAATCTTGAAAATAGATGGATCGTAATTAAAAATGTTATGCACTATAAAACTTCCAAGAACTTTCAATTGTAATTCTTACATTTATGTATTTTTTAGGTATTAAATCGTTGTATCAGGGATAATCTTAATTATTATACGTCTCCTGTAAATATTGATAGTGTAAGTGATGAAGTGGTGTAGTGAATCAAGCAAAAATAGGAACTACCTTATTAATCAGTCATTATCTTCGTCGACCAGTTCATCAAATTCTAACAGAGCAAATTCAAAAAAAAAGCGCGTGGACGTGCTAAAAACCCTGCCAATGGAAGCAGAATAATATAAAACGTAAACGCATTCAAGGCAGTTAATGATGTGATTTTGTAAACCTTAACTTAAATTTGACAACAGTTTATCCTTGTCATTCTCTACACAGAATGAAAAGAAGACTCTGATGTTAAATTTAGTTTTAAATTTAGAGAATTATGCCAGTATTGACCGGTATGTATATCTAGCAAAAAGTCAGAAGAATGTGCCATCCCGTTATCTGAAAGAGCCCTTCACATATAAGTGGCGGTAGAATGCACAATTTTGGGAAATTCGTGTCTTGGCTAAACAAAGAGCACATTATAAGTGCAAGTATGATACTCTTGTGTGTGGGTCTTATATTAAAAGCTTATGTGACGAAGACGACAAAGAGAAAGAAATGATAGTTTACTCGGACAATTGCTGTGGCCAAATTGAAAATAAATATATTACATCTTTATAATTTCATGCTATTGAAACATTAAACATTTAGTATCTAACACATAAACTCCATATAAGAGGACATACCCAGTATGATGCAGATAGCATGCATAGCATCATAGAAAAGAAAGAAAAAAAAAAGAACCTTAAGTCTGGACGGATATATAAACCGGACCAATTTAATGCTTTGATAAAGAGTGTTGTTATCATATTAATTATACTTAATTAAGTTTTGATAATTATGTTTTCGTTTTGTTTTACAACAGACCTTGTCACGAAAGGATTGATCCTTTTTGTCATGCAGCGTTATAAAATTATATTTTGCAAGTGTTTTAAGTTGTTATCAATAAAAAGATCTCAATTAGGTATATAAATTAAAACTGATTATAATGATGAGAGTATAGTTTTATATAAATTCTTTACGATTTATAATTTTCATTATGCTAAATGTTTAATTTGTTGAGAGTTTTTTTTGTTTTTTTTTACGACTACAAGTTTAGTTTATGGTTATTATTATTAAAATGACAATTAATTTATTTTTATTGACCCATGATCCTTTTCAATTGTACTTTAAAAGGATTCTATATTATATTTATTGCATAATAATTACAGATAAAATAAAGAATTACAACATCAGTTTTAATACCATCCACTATATTTTTTGCAAATTTCAATGAATAAATAGAAATAATAAACAATTTATAGTTATTTATTATTAATTTCATTAGTAGAATACTGTACAAAATCAAAATATAACATACATTTTTCAAGTATATTAAATAAAAAATAGCAACTTTTGATATTACCTCGCGTATGTCCATACTTCGCGATTTTATTTTTCGGCATAAAGTGAAATAACTTCGAACTATTTTTTAAATGTTTATTTTATTGTTTATCTTTTTAAAAATTTGATAATTTTGATAGTTGGTATATAAGTTAAATAAATATGCTAATAGAATCTACTTTTAGAATTCACCTAAATAATTTCGTTCTTTTTTATGACAGATTAAAGTTGCTTATGCAAATCAGTCAAACTTTGATTGCGTTTTCCCACAAAATTGAAATTTTGACTTATTTCTTTTTTTGACTAAAGGTGCGTAATGTCTAAAATGGCAGCCACCGAAATCGAAAGTGAGATTTTACTTTACAGAATCGCCATACAGCTGTCAATGACTGAGTCGTCCTATCACTCATCTATACTGATATTATAGAGATAAGATTTGATTGTTTGTTTGATTCTATTGAACAGGCTCCGAAACTACTAGACCGATTTGAAACATTCTTATATATTTAGAATTCTACTCGTACATTATCCCTAATGAACATAGGCTATTGAGTATATTCAAAAAATTAGGGTTGCGTATGAAAACTTAGATATTGTAAGTCATTGTGTGAAAAAATACCAAAAAAAATAACCTTATATATCGTACCCTGCGAAAGTCATTGACAATAAGAGCCCTTGATGTAAGAAAGATTTATAGACGACATCAATATCTACAAAAAAAGTCGCGCTAACAACAACTATAGCCTACACTACAGCTCTACACCGAAGCGAATCGGGGGCGCGCCACTAGTACTTAATATATGTACTTACTTTTGGTTAAGATATGTGGATCTTGCCCTATGATATATGGATGTTTATTCATTTTAAATTGTGGTTGCGGGTGTGCCAACTGAAAACCCACAATTAACATGTCATCCTCCTTGGTATCATTCATAATGATGAAAGTAAACTTCGCAGTTTGCTCAGGTTTGATCTAAAATCATTAAAAAAAAATATCCAACATCTTAATCACTTAGATTTTTAAACGACTATACAGAGAACCAAATAAACCACGTAAAGAAAACGGCATGTTACGTGCTATGTGTTTTTGACTTGTGACTAACTGATAACTAACGAGCGGGGACTGTTGATGTAAACACGTATTTGCAGTAAAACCTGATTTATTTTAATATAATATGTACAATAGTTCGTGGTGTTGCAGACACTATTTATGAAGTTGACATCAAGAAAAAGTATAAAATACAGAGGTAAAAGTCACCAAGCAGTTTCCAACACTAACTAGTCAGAATCCACTAACTAAAGCCTTTGATTATATGCACGCCTAGATTCCACATTGACTGCTCGGGAGCACCCCAAAAATAAACATTTATACATACTACATAATATGGTATATATGCCTGTCACCATATGGTTTCTGTTTCTGTTTTCAAACAATCTAACATTACAATCATGCACACATTGTGCGTAACATCAGCCGTTTTCTTTGTGTGATTTATTTGGATTGCTCTTAGGCGTGTAATATTACCGGCAATCTGTGCAATTCGGAATTCTATATAATACCTATGCAATGCATAGAATGCCTAATATACTATTCTATACAATGCCGAATGCGCAGTCGCCGATGTGTGTAAAAGATGATAACGAATCGATTTTCCCTTGTTTTATTAATGTACCCATTATCTTTAATTATTTATGTATTATGTTATTGAGGAGCTCGATGGCGCAAGTGGTTAGCGCGTTCGGCTGCGATCGTTGAACTTAAGCAATTGTCGCAGTGGTCGGTCATTGGATGGGTGACCAAAAATTACTATCTCGAGCTCCCTCGTGCTTCGGAAGGCACGTTAAGCCGTTGGTTACGGCTGCATCTGCAGTCGTTAGCACCCACCAATCCGTGGGCCCGCGTGGTGGGTCTTGGCCCAATCTCCCTATTCCATCCATAGGAAAGGCCTGTGCCCCAGCAGTGGGGACATTAATAGGCTGATGATGATGATGATTTATGTATTACCTATTAGGTGCACTCACGCTTGCTTTGCTCGCTCGACTCGCGCTAAGTTTAGGTCGCAACACTAATTAACCTAACCCACTGTGAGTTGCTCAAACGTTCATAATGAATTATTAAATCCGTCCGTTGTTTTAACTGGGTAGGCTAGGTTAAGTTTAATTAAGATAAATGCAGGCCAAAATCGTTTATTTTACACATTGCCGACGACGACCTCCGTAGCCGAGTAGTTTGTGCGCCCGGTTTCAAGGTGCCTGCTCCAGAGGTCGAGGGTTCGAATCCCGGTGGGGGCAGACGTTTGTGTGATGAATACGAGCATTTGTACTCTAGTCATGGATGTTTAATATGTATTCGAATTAAATATACTTATATATGTATCACTATATGTATTCTATCTGTTACCCTAGTATCCCATAACACAAGCCTTACAGTGCTTACTTTGAGGCTAGGCTAATTGGTGAGAGTGTTGGAAATATTTATTTAAAAAAATATTATTTATTGCTGATGGACCAGCAGGTACTCAGAGCCTTAAAAGTGTGCTAAATGACATAGTATGACAAATCATTGCGACTCTACCGACACACCACTTAGATTCCTTTACTATTAACACCTAATCGTTATTCTGCTAAAAGTACACCTTTACCTCTTTATAGACTCTCGATGGAATGTCAAGGGAATCGTAATGGAATATGAATTCAGATCAGTCTATTGTTTTTGCCCTATATTTCTACTTCTTTGAATGTTTTAATAGCTCCTCAATTAAAATTAATAAAGTTTTCTTAATTGGCTGTAAAATTTACAAAAATCGTGTTTTGTCGATATCGAAACAATATAAACTCATTAAAACAAAGCGTAACTTCAAAAAACATGACATTTAAATAAAAATAATTACGTTGCCTCTCATGGTTTTCACCCACCCATCGCGCAGGTCCAGTGCGGATGGATGGGTGGGTGCTAACGAGTATATATTCAGGGACCAAACGTCTTAACGTGCCTTCTGAAGCACGAAAGAGCTCGAAATAATAAGTTTTTGGTCACCCATCCAATAATCGGCCATTGCAAAAGTTGCTTAACTTCTACGATCGCAGACCAACGTGCTAAGCACCTTCGAGCTCCTCAATATCTAGTCAACCATTCAATGAACTCGGTCAACCATCCAATGACCATTCAAATGAACCCGGTCACCCATCCAATGACCGACCATTGTGAAAGTTGTTTTACCTCCACGATGGCAGGCTGCATGCGCTAACAGCTGCGCCAGAGAGCTCAAGGCGTTATTGGGCGATTTTTTCAAAATCTATTTTTGGTTGCGATACCTTTGCGTCACTCTCTAATCGAAAAGTTTTCACGAATTCTACCTTAGTCTGTTAACCTCAACAAGGCACAGGATAATCACGGTACTTTGATCACTGAAGTTAGAACATGCCAAAATAATGTCGTAATTAAAAAAAAACAGTTTTATTTGTTATTTATAAATCATAATTACTAAGACAAAAGCTGTCGTAGTAAAAGGACCAGTCAATGGTTGGAGAGTGCTCAAAATTCATTCTCATTCATGGTCATTGTGAAGCTGTCATAGCTGTCATATAACTAGTAGCATACTACCCCGTTTTCAGTACATACGCACAATAATGTGCTGCAGAATAGAAATTAATGCAATGGAAAATACATCAGTGGAAAGTCAGTGGACAACCACTTGTAAAAATTAAATAGTAGAATACCAACTGGCAAAAATTCAATATCGACATCATACGGACACTGCATTGTGACATTAGTAAAATACCTAAAAGACTTGGGGCCTAATTATAATAGGGATGATGACTAATTTTTTTTTTTCAAGTATTGGACACGTATTTTTTCTGTTTTCACATAATATAAACATTGCAGAGATATTATTATATTGATTTGAAAAGTCGCATGACGTCACGTTTGAGTACACTTTTAAGTGAAAATTCACTCAAAAGTGACGTCACGAGCCCCTTCTCCCAAACATTGACGCGCTATAACTTTGTCATTTTTTGGTTGATTGCTCAAAGAAAAAATACGTGTCCATTATTTTTTGATCATCTAACTGACGGACTAAATAGAATTTCGTTTACTGTACCCTGTCATCACCCCTATTGTAAAGTTCCATTTGTTCACAAAAAAGATCACATACGCTTATCTCAAGCGGGTAAAACTCTCACTGGCACTGGTCCCAAACGGTCCGAGATATCCAGTCCGTAAGTGGTATCTTCGTGTGCGTTGCTCAAGCGCACTACTTATGTATATTACCTTCTGTACTTATATAAATTTTGTGTAATACTGTCATACCTAATTTTTGAATAAGATAATAGGTACTCACACAAATGTGTATTTTAGCATCATCTGTAGCTTTAGTCACTGTCTTAGAACCTTCTTTTGACTCAATTTCAGCATTAGCCAAAATCCGAATGCCATCTCGGTTACCTGTGAAAGCTTTCCTGTAATAAACAAGGTAATTGTCATTTATATTTTTTTCTTGTTTAGTCTAAATTTCTTTAATATAGAGATAGATGTTCTATTTTTCTGTATTAATATTCCATCTAAGTAACTTCCTTAACACATTATGGTATTTAGTATTAATGTCATTGGACTCTATTAAAAAAAGTTATCATCTGTTGTCTATTTTTGATAAAAAATTACTTTAAAAGTTTTCTTTCAGATCTGCCACTGAAACACGTCTCTGGGTAACATGGTGTGTTTGTTTACCTGTGTGTGACGTCACACTACTGTCACTTAAACATCAAACTCGGAAAGGAAGGAGGAAATAACTCGGAACTTGATCCCTAAACGAGTTCAGAGTGCGAGCATTTGGAATAGTTTCCGGTAGTAAGTTCCTTAGACGTACAGAATGCACAGAGAAGGAATAGAAAAGAAATCAGTAGAATGACTTCGAATAACAAGAGTTAGGTAAGAAGATGGCGAAGTGCGCTGTGAAGTAGAAGAGAAAAACGAGAAGAGTTTAGAGGTACGTACAATATGGAGATATTGTACGTACCGAATTCTTCGTTTAAAGAAGCGTAAGTGTGTGTAAGTCTGCGCCGGCAAATAGGGAGCCAGTTAAATTTAGAACGGAAGTGTGAGACGTGGTCATATTTCCGAAGGTTGAAAATAAATTGGGTACATAAGTTCTGCAGACGTTCTAGCATTCTTTAAGAGTTCTTCAGAAAGATCTGTGTAACAGGCATCATCGTAGTCAATAATAGACGGTAAAAGAGTCTGCGCCAGTGTGATTTTGGTGCTGGTGGGCAAAAAGTTATGTAATCGGTTGAGCGAGCTGTATGCAGCAAAAATTTCTTTCTGACCGCTTTCACCTGAGGCCTTCAAGAACAACACTGATCAAAGACAACACCAAGGTTTTTGACAGTGCTTGACCAAGGAATAATAGTTCCATCAAAAGTAATAGGAGATAGATGTTCAAAATCAATCCTGGAAACGAAGTAAGAGCCGCCAATTATTATAGTTTGTGTCTTAGTGGGGTTCAGAATGAGACCGAAAGATTTACTCCAACTACTAATTAAGGCGAGACAAGAATTTGTAGTCGCCATTGCACCCGAAAGGTCAGATAGTGGTGCCTGTGTGTAAATCTGGAGGTCATCGGCATAAAGGTGATAGGAACTGAAAAGTGGGAGGAGATAACACGCCACCCTCAGGAACACCAGCATTGGTGGCGCACCACGTAAAGAAGTTATCTTCAATACGTATACGTTGCCGGCATCCTATCAGGTAACTTTGAAACCCATCAATTGCCGCTGGTGATATATTAAGAGAAGGCAGGATGGCAATGCCAAAGTCAACCGAATTGAAGGCGTTACTGAAGTCGAGCAACGTCATCAAAGTGAGTTGTCGATTCTCCATACGACGTGGAATATCATTTGAAATCTTGACCAATGCAGTAGTTGTGCTATGACTCGTACGAAAACCAGACTGAAATTAATCTAAGAGCTGGTTTTTGTTAAGAAAAGCTGAAAGCTGTTGGTAAACGAGTTTTTCCAAAACTTTGGAGAGAAATGGAAGAAGGCAAATAGGACGATATTCTGAAAAAGAGGCAGAATACGGTTTTTTTGGGATTGGGATAACATTTGCATCTTTCCAGGATGCAGGATACACACAAACAGGTAGGTATGCAGGATGTGAGTAATTATAGGAGTCAGGATGACAAGGATGGGGAGGATCATTTTCCGGCTAATAGAGTCACTACCAGCTGGAAAATAGTGAGTTTCAGCAAGTATATGTAAATTGGAGGAATCTCAAATTTTTTGGACCTGAGATCTTATTTTAAATTAGTTCAGTTAATACAAAACTAAGTAACTCTCTGGCCAATGACTGGTAAAAATATTTTATTTTGTGGTTATAAGGTTGATTTCACATTTACTTTGTTACCTACAAAGTTTTTTTCCAAGTATCAGATATATAATTTATAAAAGGAACAAAATTCATTTTATAAGATAAAAGGTTGTATGTGCGAAATAACATTTTGTAATTTGTAACCTTTGTGAGGTAGTTGTTATTAGATTCAACTTAAACTGTTTTAAAACATTTATCTTTGCCCATTGGGAATCAAATTTAGCTGCATAAGTTTAAACATCCGCAACCCGTTATTTATAGAATTGTTGATTGCAGATAATATACAAGCAAAAGTAATAATAACAAAATATAAGTTTTACTATACTATATACATGATTACCTACAGGTTGATTGAAAGAAATCAACAAAATGTATTAATTACTAAATACACAAGAAACAAGCGAAATCATTACACATTAAAGTACAACTAACAATACTTGTCACAGCTACGCCTATAAGTCTGTGGACCTGTTACAGTACCTTAAATTAGCAAACAGTTATAAACAATGACATTGACACATGAGAAAAATTTATCAAAGTAAAACATCAACTTAACCTGTGACGTCTTTGTATGTGTGTGTGTGTGTGTTGTGCTTGTAGAAAGTGAACAGCTCAATGAGATCGAATATTCGGTTATTTATAAGTCTATAAACCGCCATAATCTGTTTCTACCAAGCAGTTTTTCTCGTGTCCCTCTCACTATAGGACATTAGGGAAATTTCTGTGTAAAACGGAGAAAGCCACAAACAAAAAAATAAAAAAAGGAAACATCAACTGCTACTGTTTTTATTATGTCTTTATCATAATTATAATAAAACCCTTGCAAAAATGTGTAAAAAATCATTAATCAATGAAGGCCGCATTGTTTGATGCATACTTATATAATTATTGTAATGAAGTGAATTGTTGAGATGAATAGTACTGAATAAATTGTTGTAATTGTACAAAATAAGGTCAAGTGACAATAAATAAAAAAAATCTTTTTTGTGGGTTTCAGTAAAATAATGAATATTTTTTCTGTAAAAATAGTATAAACCCTTGCCAATATTCATTCTAAATACAGATCCCAACAATGGGCTATTTGACAGTATGAAAAATAAAGTATACCTACCAACCTAGCAACAGTTGGCATCTATATTTAATATTAATATTAGCAGCAATTTTACTATTCAGGGAGAACATAACTTTTCTAAAAAATCAATAATTAGAAACATTTGTTTGTTCTATGGTCACATGACCGAAAACACCTGGGAATGGCAAAAACTAAAATGATGTCACACGCTAGTAAACTTCCAGTAAAAATGGCATTACATTGTATCGTTTGATATTTTAATGACAGTCATTTGGTTTCATGTAGCAGTAAGATGCCATAACGACCAGAGAAACGTTTTTGTGGCAACTTTAAAATGGTCTTTTTTATTTAGTTTTTTTTACCAAAATATGCATCAGAATGATGAATATCCACATTCTATGGACTCCATAAACATTAGTTAATATCCTGAGATCATTTTCTAAAACTTGTCAAATACCCTATTACTTAAGCTATAAATAAATATTTTAAAATAGCATATATAAATATTTTGAACATGTGAGTATTTTTATTTTTAAATAGGTACTTACTTATTTTTTGAGTAATCTGCAAGAATTTGGTTGCAGATATGTTTCGGGGTATGCGGATGATGTGCCTCAGAGTTTTCATCATAGACTTCGTCAACTGGTCCACATACTTTACAATACATCTTGTTGCTATAATTTTTATTATACAAGATAAATAACAAAATTATTTAAGTCCCTATTTGCGGTGCAACACCCACAGCATTAAACACAAGTGAACTCACCAGTTAACAATTGAAGTAGGTAAATTTTATCAAAGAAAGCTTTGCAAATGGTACCTACCTATATAAGTGGTAGATATTGGTAACAAATTACGAAAAATACTGTAGGTGGGTGATGGTATGGCGTTTGTTTCAACTTGTTTCCCGTTAGTTATTACATGAAAGATAATTTTATCTAAAAATACAAATTAGTTAAGTCGGGTGTCTAGATAATAACTTAATCATGCACTGTTTACTTAACTTCATATGTTATGGGCATAACAATTAACCATAGCAATTAGCCATGAATTTTGGAAAACCAATTTAACTTACCTACAGACAAAGTAAATTTAAAGAGAATTCTGCAAAATACTGCCTTTCTTGGTAATATTTCAGGAAAGAACGTTCACAGCTGTGTTTACATTAAAACTGATAAAAATGAAGAAAGTGATTTTCTTTTTGTACCCTGTGCGCAATCTTTCAGCACGATAAACATTCTAGAAAACACACGAACCTAAACAAAGAGGCCTTATCAATGTTTTAGTAAGTGGGTATCATTTTACAGCTCATTACTCATAAGCTATCGCAAAAATCTCAAATTCTAACGAACCCAAATCAAAAACAAAAACTTCACTTGAAAACAAAGCAAAATAAAGTTAGTACCTTATCTATATTCTATATTGGTATCAATTCTGGCATCATTCTCTAAACCTAAACTTAAATTTGACAACAGTGTATCTCTGTCATTCTCTATACAGATAGAAAAGGAGAGACTGATGTTAAATTTACTTTTAAGTTTAGAGAACCCTGTCTGATCGACACCACTACTGACGACTAGTATAATATGATTGTAAATTGTAAGTTCCCCGAACATAGACAATGACCATAGATGCAAATTGCAAACAAACATTGGCATACTTTTTTTTAAATTTATTCTGGCTTTGGTTACTCAGTCTTTTAGCCACAATCATTAATACAAATTTAACAAAAAAAAAAATAGTGTAATAGATTTTTGGGAATGTTTAGCCGCTACTCCCCACTAGCGGAATGGAATAATAAAACGGCGATACGTCAACTTATCAGCACTATATTTGGAAAATATTCAAAATTATAAAAATACAATTCGTATGGACGAAATTTTCTTCTGAAGTCCCTTTTTTGAATGACAGTTAAAAATCCAACAGCAGATATATAAAAAGAATATAATTAAAAAACTTATTTTCTAACGTGCCAGTGCCTACGGAATGTCCATAGACACTGGCTGTATGGGGACATGGACCAACTTTTGTTTTGTGCGGTGCAAAGTCGCCACAGATTGATAGGTACAAATTATTGAAAATTTAAATTATTTTACTAAATACATGTTAGATATCTGTTAAATAAACCAAACAAAATTCATGTAAACAACGCGCAACTCAACTGTCAATAAAGAATTAAAAAAAACAAGCATCATTTACAAACATGGAGAACAATAATTTTACATAATACTAACCTAGCTTATTTATGAAATTCAATTATAATGCGATTCAACTAAAAATAGGACCGACTGTCAAATCAAACCAAATAGGTAGAATGAGCAAAAAAATGTTGCTATTTAATAAAACTTGTTTACTAAGATTAAGTGAGACAAAACATCAGATTTAAAAAAAAATACTAAGGTTGAGAAAGAACACAACCGATTTTTAATAGTATTTCTTTATTAGGACTGTGTGAAAAAAATCATTAATCAGAATCTAGCTCTTTAATTTCGCTCATCTCTGCATTACCGCCGGAGAAGTTATGAATAATCATGCAGGTCACATAGGAACATGCATCCTATATGTAAAAGAAAGTTTTAAATCGAGTTTCTGATCGCAACATAAAATGACATTTGGTTGACGATTTAGGTTAACAAACATTCATAGCCAAAGCTCATTAAATGAAAAAAAAGTCAACTAATATTAATTATCAACATTTGTTATTGTTTGTTTTAAAATGTTTGGTTTTTATTCTAGAATCAGCCGAGTGCAAAAAATGTGTTCCGAGTTTTTTTTGCAAACCGGACTTTTCAAGCGACATTTGACAGATGGAGGTCATTGGCTTTCCTATTCTAATATTCTTATTTGAATCGCATTATAGAATTACATATTCTATTTACAAATTATTTACAGTGTTATACCTCGTTTACACTATGCCCATTCCGCTGCCCCTCGTGTTGCCGGCAATAATTCCCTAAATATTGCTACGGCATGATTGAGAGAAGTATGTGTTTACATACTGCCCTACCTCTCACTTCGCTTCAGAGTTTCGGCAATGGCAGACGTCGAAGTAATAACAGCGGCCGCGCTGTGTCTTTGTGCAATCAATAATTATGTTCGAAATTTAAATAATTAATAATTTTAATATAAATAAATTAATAATTATTAATTAATTAATAATTTTTAATTTCACATCTTTCTCCACCAAGCGCGTGGCGCGAACTAAGCGACGCGCAGAGTGTGAACACGCATTGCCACTCGCGCTGCCGGTCCTTTAACTTCCGCACAAAAAACCGCTCTTTTGGAGAGCGCCGGGCAGCGCGAGTGGCAATGGCAGTGGCATGACGAGCCGATACTCGTAAACACGATTGTTTACATACTCGCCATGCCCACTTCCCTGCTCACTTCCCTCCTTACTCGCGCTGCATGTAAACGAGGTATTACACACAAACTGGAAAACAGGTAGGAAAAAACTTGGTTCCGACTGGTTCCGATAGAAAATCTGAATCTGAATTGGTTTTATCTTGTAAAAATTCAAAATTATCAGTCATGTTAGGCAAGTGAATAAGGCCAAATATTATCAGTACACATAGACATATTTACAAATTTATTACAAATGTTTTGCACTTTTGCTGTAACTAAACACATCTCTGGTGATAATCCTGTTGAAGTTATGATTTTATGTAAAACCTTCTTGTTAGCGCGACTCGATGGCCTGTTCTCTATGTCACCGTTACTTCATTCTAGGACTTTTGCAAATACGTCAACGGTGTATACCTATAAAAATGTAATGTGATTGGGACTACATAAACTAAATATTACGAGCTGATTGTCTTTCCTTTCTACGATCCACTTCCTCAACATGGTAGCAAAGGAGCGTTGTTGAATAAAATAAATAGAAAGAGGAAGATAAGTGGAAATTATTTGACAAGGTCAGTACCGAAACAATTGAAGAAGTAAGGTACCGAAAATGGAAGTAAAGATAGGAGAAGTAGGCATTCAGATATTTGATGGTGCAAATTACGAAAAATGGAAATTTAGATTAAAGTTGTTGTTACAAATGAAGGAATGCCAAGAAGCTGTGGAAAATGATATAAAACATGAAGGTATGACAGACACAGAATGGAGAAAAATTGATTTAAAGGCTAGAAATATTATAGTGAATAGCGTAAATAATACTCAGCTCGATATAATAATGAATGAAAGTACGGCTTACCAAATGATTAAAAAATTGGACGAGATGTATTTAGTAAAAGGCAGTGCTAATAAACTATTGATTAAAAGGAAATTACTAGAAACAAAATTCAAAGATGGCGACGATATACTAGAATTCATACAAACATTTGAAAAACAAATCAATGAATTGAAAAATGCTGGAGAAGTCGTGTCGGAAGAGGATAGACTGAACTATTTATTGCTTGCATTACCTGAGAGTTTTGCACATATTGTAAATATTGTTGATGCGATGCCGACAAAGGATCGGACAGTGGAGTACGTGAAGTCCAAATTACTACTTGAAATGAAAAGAAAACAGAACGAACAAGAAGCTCATACGTTCAGTTCTCGATCAAATCAACACCAAGATGGGTCCAGGAATAATGATAACTGCTTTGAATGCAACCGCCCAGGACACTACAGGAGGGATTGTCCTAAGTTAGCACGTCGTGGTCATGGTCGTGGTAGAGGACGCGGATATGGAGGCGGACGACGAGGAACTCACAGAGGATATAGAGGAGGATACAACAATAGAAGCGTGAATACAGGACAAAGTAGCAGCACCAGTGATGGATTTGGATTCAACGTAGAAGTAGAAGCGATGACAGGAGCTACTGAAACGAAAGCGGATATAACATGGTTATTGGACAGCGGATGCAGCGATCACATCGTAAATGACGATAAATTCTTTCGTGATTATAAAATTTTAGAAACACCTGTGAATATTAAGGTAGGTGATGGATTTTGTCTTAAGTCGGAGAAAATAGGAAATGTAACAATGTACTGTAAAGCAGGAGGTAAGTCAAATAAAATTGATGTTTCAAATGTATATTATGTTCCAAATATGAAAAAGAACTTATTAAGCGTTTCATGCATTGTAAATAGAAATAATACAATTCAATTTAGAGGAGAAATAGCAAATATATATAATGTACATATAGGTTTAATGGCCGTCGCACGCAAGAAAAATAAATTGTACGAATTAGATGGCAGAGTTAATTTAGGTGCAGGTACAGTAGCATACACAAGTGGTAACATTATGTCAGAAAAAGAAAAATGGCACAGAATACTTGGGCACCCTAACTTTAAGAAACTAAATGAAATGTGCAGGCATAGGGTTGTAGATGGGTTACCTATCACTTTAGGCGAGGGTTACGTGCAATGTGAAGTTTGTTTGATGAACAAAATGACAAATCTACCTTTTGGAAATCAAAGACGACGGGCAACAGACTTGTTAGAGATTATCCACACGGATGTGGCAGGCCCGATTACGCCCACTGGATATAAGGGGCAACGATACTTTGTGTCATTCATAGATGACTATAGTAGGTTAGCTTATCTATGCTTAATTAATAACAAGAGTGATGTTTTGAATTGTTTTAGAGATTATGTAAATATGGTGGAAAATCAAACAGGTAAGAGAGTGAAAGAAATCAGATGTGACAATGGCGGAGAATATATTAACAACGATTTCTACACTTACACAAAGCAAAAAGGTATTTATTTAAAACCAGGGCCAGCTTATACACACGAGTTGAACGGTGTAGCTGAAAGATTTAACCGAACCATAATGGAGAGAGCGAGATGTCTGCTTACAGAAGCAAAGATAAATAAGAAATATTGGCCTGAATGCGTTATGACTGCAGCATATCTAGGTAATAGAATATTAACAAATACGTATGAGAAAAAAACACCGTACGAAATTTTTATGGGGAGGAAGCCAAATGTAAGTAATTTAAAAATTTTCGGATCACAGTGTTATGTACGAATTCCAGACGAATTACGCACATCAAAACTTAACCCAAAGGCTACAAAAGGTATATTAGTAGGATACACAGATACGGGATACAGAGTATTAATAAATGAAAAAATAGTCATTAGTCGTCACGTTACATTTATAGGTACGAAAGAAGAACAGATAATAAAGATAGTAAATACTGAAGATGAAACTGATGAAAACGAAGAATTTTATGATAGTGTTGATGACTCAAAGGAAAAATCAAGTAGAGCTGTGACTGAGGAGGTGACGGATATCCGACCAAAAAGAGATAGAAAAATGCCAGAGAAATATAAAGATCATGTTGTATATATAAATTTTAGTGATGCACTGGTACCAGATACGTATGATGAAGCAATAAAAAGTCCAGATGTAAATAAATGGAAAGATGCAATGAAAGAGGAATTGAACAGTTTGGAAAAGAACGAAACATGGATTTTAGTTGATAGACCAGAAAATAAGAAAATAATAGATGTTAAATGGATCTTTAGGATCAAGTCGAATGGGAAGTATAAGGCAAGAGTAGTCGCACGAGGTTTCCAACAGATGTATGAAGAAAACGAGGAAATTTATTCACCAGTAGCGCGAATGACGACA